GAGTCAGTGCATGTCCGCACCTTTCCCTGTCTGAATAAGTTTCGTGCGCTCGGCAGAGACCGGTTCTGCGCCTTCGCATCAAAAGTGAAGGAAAATACATTTCCCATCCTTTTTGATTCGGGCTTTGAACGGCGACACTGGCGAAGTTAATTTTTTTAGTACTATTTTTTAAAAATTTGTTTGTTTTTATTTTTTTTTCTTTTTATTTTATCTTTGGCTTTGGACGACACCGCGGCGAAGTTAAAAATATATTTTTTTTGTTTTTTAGAACTATTTTTTGTTTAAAATCTTTTCTTCTTATCTAGAACAAGATTTTAAATTTTTTATAATAATTTTCCTGCAAATCCATTGATTCAATATTTCTTCTTTTGTGTGAATAATTTCATAAGCACGGAGCAACACATAAAGGAACATTGCATGCTTTGCATTCGGTACTTATTTCTCGACTCTTGTTTTGTTTAGCACAAACAACACATCTTCGCCTTGGTGACCTTCTTCTTAGACTGAATGCACCGGGTATCAAAGATTTGAAAAATGCCTTCCGGTAAATCGAAGGAACATTTTCGTCTTTCCTGAGCAGCCTTCCTCTGCCCAGCATTTTCCTGGCGTTCCTGTGGGGGGGGGGGGGAAAAAAAAAATTCCCCAATCAGTTCGAAATTAGGGAATAGCTGCAATTTCGCCATTGGAATACTTTTGTCCTTCTCCAATTTGTGAAGTGCATGAGGATTTAATACGACTAAGTCCAAAATGTTACAGAAGAATTTCTTATACCATTTTGACGCTCTTACGTACTGATTGTAATCGAGCTCAATATCATTTGGAACGTCCAACTGCTCCAATTATCGTCTTGTTGTAATCAACAACACATTGCGGTTTTCTTATCTTTTTCGGCATTCAAGTCATCCTGTTTATTTTTATTAGTTTCAATTACTTCGCGGTGTTAGCAAGTAAGTCAACATCCATACTTTTCTTTTGTCACACTACTTCATACTGAGCATAGTATCAGATGACATTGACTGCATTTCTCCTCTTTTTAATTTTTTTTCTCAGTTTTAGGCATATTGCGCCTGTTCCATCGTACAGTACCACACGCATTTGTGGCATGCTCGTGAAGCCACAGAATAAATCTGGGCTAGCATACTAGTTTGTCGATATAAAGTGGTATGTCCCGCGTCATAGGATGGCTCCAGGAGAGTCCGGCCACAATGTCTCCGCTTTTCCTAAATTATGTCATTCAAGTATCATTTGTGGCACGCAGTAATAAACAATAAAAATCTAAAACAAACCAGTCTGACAATCGCACAAAACAAATGTTTTAATTCCAAATCTCACTGCGTTTTGGGTAAGATGTATTGTTTAAAGGACAGTCGTCGCTTTAAACAATACAAACTTTGCGTCAATGCAATAGTTTCTGAACATCGGTTGCAAATGCATTGTTCCAAAAGCCCCGCACGAAATTTTGTCAATAACAAGTTCCTGATTTTAAACAGACTGTCACCTCCGGTATTTCGTCGAATTGTCGCTAAAATGCAGCATTCTTCAGTTAAATCAGAGGAAGTTCTCGTTAAATAGCAAACAGACATTCTGTTACACAGAACTGGAAACAATAACTGCACAAAAGAAAAGAATTTCATATGGAAGCGCTTCCGGCGAGCTGCCCGCTTCACATTAGGTATATTTGAAAACCCGGAATTATCCACCCTTTCCCCCTTTCTGTAGAAAGGACAATTCACTAGAAAGAGTAAAGAGACAGTGCGCGCCATTAAGGCGTCCGGAAGGCCCCCAGAAACGGGCCGCGGCGGCGCCGCCTAATAGAAAAAAAAACGTCCAGAGGCTGCAGGTACACATCAACGTCGCCGCGCCTTAAGGCGTCCAGAGGCTCCCGGAAACAGCCCGGCGCCGGCGCCCATAAGGCGTCCAGAGCAGCGAAAAGGTTAAGTAAACTCATTGCATAGGTGGTCATCTCTGTGATGGTCCGCCTCTAAGTGTGAATGCTGTCATTGAGCATAATTCATGTAGGAGAGGTGGTCACGGATGATGATTATGAGTGGCCGAAAGGAAGGGGTTTAGATGTCAAAGTAAAATAGAATCGTGGAGTAGTTGTAAAAGTTAAAGTATGAGTTATTCACTTATTCATTGCCACCACATATTAAAAAATATTAGGACAGTTGAAGAGGAGAGGGAGAGCATGAGAGAGAAAAACATGATGGAAGTAATTGCAAGGATGTCGATGTGCATTCATGTTGCATCACTTCTTACCATAGCTTCGGATTCGTCCGGCCTGCCTGTGCATTAGGTGCAGACATCGCTTAACTGATTTTCTGCAATTGATAGCTGATTCGTCATGGATGCGTCAAGCCTGTTGTCGGTGGTCGTTTTCAAGAGACTGGCTGTCATGAAACTGGACTGCCCCCTGTGTTGTTTGAGTGTTCATTTATATGTGATCCCGCTAATTGTAGAAAACTTCGTGAGAGTGTCAATTTTTAGAAAGAGAGATTTTCCAGACCAGTGTCAACATGTTTTTTTCGCACCAACTTTTCCTGTTTCGTTCAACTCAGGCGCTCATGGTGCTGACATATTTTATAATTTCGATTGTGATGATGAAGTACTTGAATTAATAATTTTATTATGGTTCCAACTCTGAAATCAAAGTGGCTCATTAGCCAGAATGTTGTGGGATATACCCTCTCTAATTCTGCAGTAGAAAGAGACGCTTGCGCAAATGCCTAGGCTCAACTGCTTCATGAAGGACCTCACAAATACCCTGCATGGTGTTGCCACAGCAGCCTCACTGTGTTTCAGTGGGAGGTCAGACACTAGGAGTGGCACTATCCCGGACAATGCACTCTTGCGTCTAACACAAGCTTCTTTTGGCCCCCAGATGGGTCATGGAAATGGAGGGATATCATGGGAACGGTGATATTTGCTGGGGGGAAGGAAAAAAGTTAGCTGAATATGCCACAACACCCAGGGAAACAATTACGCCTATACATAGAGAACCAAGCTCACTTGTGGGCTTAGGGACTTGGCCACCGAGCTGACTAATAAGTAGTATTTATAAACAAGAAGTATTAATTTTAAATGTTTCACATTCTTAGGTTGCATTAGTTCAGTTGGTCATTGGGAGAAGAAAACCTATTGAGTTGATACGACAAGCTACTTTCCAGCACAACAATGAATGTCTGTGATCCCTGTAGTGGACGCCCCATAGCCATAACATGGTGTGGTGTCAGGAAGCTGCCGAGCCCCAAGGTACCAACTTGCATCTGCCCACGCTGGATTTTGGTGGTCGTGACTGTGACCGTGTTGGGGATGCTTGTTATCCAGGTACACAATTTAATGTCTCCTCTAGTTAACATACAAAAGTAAAATGTTTACTCAATTTAAAATGGAACAGTGATATTTGATGGTAAAAGACCTTGTTGTTTTTCATTTTTCCCGCCATCCTAATTTCAAATCTGGACGATATCAAGTAAGCAGGCACATAAAATATATGCAGAAGGCGGGAAGATATAATCACTTTTTCTCGATGATATGTGAGAAATTTTCATATATGTCGAAAGGAACCCATAGACATTTGCCCCTGATTGTACGGCACCCATAAACAACTGGTGGTAGCAATTATATGAAATCTCTTTGACTGACCACAATGGTGACCTACAAACCATTTTTCTAATTTTCCATTATTAAAAGAAGATTTGCCTGGTGCATGTAATGATTATTTGGCCTGTTTTTCTTATTAATATTCGTATGTCTTTATTTATCAATAATGAACCAACTAATTTGTCACAATTTAATTACAATGTAAAGTAACTGGGAGTAACAGTAATACAATAATTAATAAACATTCACAAATACTAAATATAACAAAATAATAACTTTCCAAATTTCATAATATAATACTTAAAATGAAATAAAGAATTCTGGTATAATGAAACAATAGAACTATTCAAAATGTTAACACACCATTTTTATACTGCCCTAGTTTTAACTTCAAGCTGTTTTAAGACTCTGAAATATATATATTGAATTGAACTATATATTATTGAAAATTAGGACCTATATATATTGAAATTAACTCAGGCCCCAATATTTGCTATTCTTCTCTTTCCTTCTTCTTCTCTTCTTCCTTTCTTCTTTCTCTTCTTTCTTTCCTTCTTACTTTCTTCTTCTTCTTCTTCTCTTGCTCGCTTCGAAGAAGAAGAAGAAGAAGAAGAAGAAGAAGAAGAAGAAGGAAAGAGGAAGAAGATAGCAAATATTGGGCCTGAGTTCAATTTCAATATATATAGGTCAATTTCAATATATATAGTTCAATTTCAATATATATATTTCAGAGTCTAAAAACAGCTTGAAGTTAAAACTAGGGCAGTATAAATGGTTTGTTAACATTTTTTAATAGTTCTATTGTTTCATTATACCAGAATCTTATTTCATTTTAAGTATTATATTATAAATTTTGAAAGTTATTATTTTGTTATATTTAGTATTTGTGAGATGTTTTGTAATTATGTATTACTGTTACTCCAGTACTTTACATTGTAATAAATTGTGGACAAATTGTTGGTTCATTATTGATAAATAAAGACATACGAATATTAATAAGAAAACAGGCCAAATAATCATTACATGCACCATCAAATCTTCTTTTAATAATGGAAAATTAGAAAATGGTTTGGTAGGTCACATTGTGGGTCAGTCAAAGAGATTTCATATAATTGCTACCCACCAGTGTGTTATGGGTTGCCTACCAATCAGGGGCAAATGTCTGATGGGTTCCTTTCGATATATATGAAATTTCTCACATATTCATCGAGAAAAAGTGATAATATCTTCCCCGCCTCTGCATATCATTTATGATGCCTGCTTACTTGATATGGTCAGATTGAAATTAGATGGGAAAATGAAAAACAACAAGGTCTTTTACCATCAAATATCAATGTTCATTTAATTGAGTAAACATTTACTTTTTTATGTTAACTAGAGGAGACATTAAATTTTACCTGGATAACAAGCATCCCCAACACGGTCACAGTCACGACCACCAAATCCAGGTGGGCAGATGCAAGTGTAGCCTTGGGGCTCGGCAGCTTCCTGACACACACCATTGTTATGGCATGGGCGTCCACTACAGGTATCACAGACATTCATGTTGTGGCTGGAAGTAGCTTGTCGTATCAACTCAATAGGTTTCTCTCCAATGACCAACTGACTAATGCAACCTAGAATGTGAAACATTTAAAATTAATACTTCTTGTATAAATACTACTTATTAGTCAGCTCGGTGGCCAAGTTCCCTAAAGGCACAAGTGAGCTTGGTTCTCTATGTATAGGCGTAATTGTTTCCCTGGGTGTTGTGGCATATTCAGCTAACTCCTCCCCCCAGCAAATATCACCGTTCCCATGATATCCCTCCATTCCTGACCCATCTGGTGGCAAAGAAGCTTGTGTTAGACGCAAGAGTGCATTGTCCGGATAGTGCCACTCCTTAGTGTCTGACCTCCCACTGAAACACAGTGAGGCTGCTGGCAACACCATGAGGTATTTGTGAGGTCCTTCAGTAAGCAGTTGAGCCTAGGCATGGCCAAGGTCTCTTCTACTGCAGAATTAGAGAGTATATCCCAAACATTCTGGCTAATGTGCCACTTTGATTTCAGAGTTGGGGAACCATAATAAATTATAATCAAGTACTTCATCATCACAATCGAAATTATAAAATATGTCATCACCATGAGGCCTGAGTTGAACGAACAGAAAAGTTTTGGAAAACATGTTGACACTGGTCTGGAAAATCTCTCTTTCTAAAATGACACTCTCACGAAGTTTTCTACAAATTAAGCGGGATCACATATAAATGAACAACTCAACAACAACAGGGGGCAGTTCCAGTTTCATGACAGCCAGTCTCTTCTTGAAAACGACCACCAACCAACAGGCTTGACGCATCCATGACGAATCAGCTATCAATTGCAGAAAATCAGTAAGGCAATGTCTGCACCTAATGACCAGGCAGCCGGAGAATCCGAAGCTATGGTAGAAGAAGCTGATGCAACATGAATGCACATCGACATCCTTGCAATTACTTCCATCATGTTTTTCTCTCTCATCTCTCCGCTCTCTCTTCAACTTCCTAATATTTTTTAATATGTGGTGGCAATGATAAGTGAATAACTCATACTTTAACTTACAACTACTCCACGATTCTATTTACTTTGACATCTAAACCCCTTCCCTTTCGGCCACTCATAATCATTCATCCGTGACCACCTCTCCTTACATGAATTATGCTCAATGACAGCATTCACATAGAAGGGGACATCACAGAGATGACCACCTATAGCAATGGTTACTTAACCTTTTCGCTGCTCTGGGACGCCTTATGGGCGCGGCGCCGGGCTGTTTCCGGGAGCCTCTGGCACGCCCTCTACAGGACGCGGCGACGTTGATGTGTACCTGCAGCCGTCTGGGACGTTTTTCTATTAGGCGCTGCGCGCCGCGGCCGTTTCTGTGGGGCCTTACCGGACGCCTTATGGCGCGCACTGTCTCTTTACTTCTTTCTAGTGAATTGTCTTTCTACGAAAGGGAAAGGGTGGATAATTTCCGGGTTTTCACCAATATACCTAATGTGAAGGGGCAGCTCGCCGGAAGCGCTTCCATATGAAATTCCTTTCTTTTGTGCAGTTATTGTTTCGTTCTGTGTAACAGAATGTCTGTTTGCTATTTAAGCCGAGAACTTCCTCTGATTTAACTGAAGAATGCTGCATTTTAGCGACAATTCGACGAATACCGGAGGTGACAGTCTGTTTAAAATCAGGAACTGTTATTGACAAAATTTCGTGCGCTTTTTGGCAATGGCATTGCAACCGAGTCAGAAACTATGCATTGACGCAATAGTTTGTTATTGTTTAAAGCGACGACCTGTCCTTTAAACAATACAATCTTACCCAAAACGCAGTGTAGATTTGGAAATTAAAACATTTGTTTTGTGCGATTGTCAGACTGCGTTTGTTTTAGATTTTTATTGGTTTATACTGGTGCCACAATGATACTTGAATACTATAATTCTAGGAAAAGCGGACATTGTGGCCGACTCTCCTGGAGCCAATACTATGAGCGGGACATACACTTTATATCGACAAACTAGTATGCTAGCCCCAGATTTATTTCTGTTGGCTTCACGGATGCCTACAAATGGTGTGGTACTGTACGATGAACAGGCGCAATATGCCTAAACTGGAGAAAAAAATTAAAAAGAGGGAGAAATGCAGTCAAGTGTCATCTGAATACTATGCTCAGTATGAAAGTAAGTGTGACAAAAGAAAAGTATGGATGTTGGACTTACTTGCTAACACGCAGCAGAAGTAATTGAAACTAATAAAATAAACAGGATGACTTGTGCGAAAAAGATAAAAAAACCGCAATGTGGTTGTTGATATACAACACGATAATGTGGGAGCAGTTGACCGTTCCGATATGATATTGAGCTCGATTACAATCAGTACGTAAGAGCGTCAAATGGTATAAGAAATTTTCATGTAAACATTTTGGACTTTTGTGCGTATTAAATCCTCCATGCACTGTCACAAATTGGAGAAGGACAAAGTATTCCAATGGCGAAATTTCAGCTATTCCCTAATTCGAGAAAACTGATTGGGAAATTTTTTCCCCCACAGGAACGCGGAAAATGCTGGCAGAGGGAAGGCGCTCAGCGAAAGATGAAAATGTCCTTCGATTTACGCGGAAGGCATTTTTTTCAAATCTTTGATACCCGGTGCATGCACGTCTAAGAAGAGGTCACCAAGGCGAAGGATGTGTTGTTTGTGCTAAACAAAACAAGAGTCGGAAACTAGTACCGAATGCAAAGCATGCAATGTTCCTTTATGTGTGCTCCGTGCTTTGAAATATTCACACAAAAAAGAAATATTGAAGTCAATGGATTTCAGGAAAATTATTATAAAAAATTTAAAATTTGTTCTAGATAAGAAGAAAAGATTTTAAACAAAAAATAGTTCTATAAAACAAAAAAATATATTTTTAACGTTCGCGCGGTGTCAGTCCAAAGCCAAAGATAAAATAAAAAAGAAAAAAAAATAATAACAAACAAATTTTTAAAATAGTATAAAAAAATAACTTCGTGCCATGTCGCGGGTTCAAAGCCCGAATCAAAAGGATGGGAAATGTATTTTCCTTCACTTTGATGCGAGGCGCAGACCGGTCTCTGGAGCGCACGAAACTTATTCAGAACAGGGAAAGGTGCGACATTGCACTGACTCAGCGCAGTAGGAGGAACCAGGAAAACGGGCCGTAATCCTCACCGCGCGTTACCGACGAGGAATGTAGCAGCGAAAAGGTTAAAGACTCATACGAGTTGAGGAGATGAAAGGTTATTTTAGGTCTTCCATGTTCTCTCTCTCCCTTTGGCCTCAAGTCAATATCTGTTTTATGTACCTGCCTTCATTCTCTTAATATAGTTTTGCCCTTTTCTTGCCCCTCTTTTACTATTCAAATTATATTCTTTGTATTTAGCTTCTTCCCTATGTCCTAGTTTCTAATTGTGAGTCTTGTAGTCACATTTACAAATTATTTTAAATATTTCATTTGGGACACTTCCCATCTTTGTCTATCTCTTTGTTTTAGCCCCTTTAGAGGTCTGCAGCAGCAAAAACACACAAACACTGATCAAGATCAACAACAAAATAAATGCTTTCATATAATACTGATTAATCAAATATTTTAACAAAAACAGACTTCATGAATACTGCAAAAATAGCAATAACATTGGATAGTATATGCCTATAGAACAAGAGTTCTTTATATTCTAAGAACATGAAAAAAATGCTGTTCCATATTGCAACATTTGAATAACAAATAATTAATGGCAGCCTCTTCAATGGAGTCTTGCTGTCAGATGAAATGAGCTGCCTCATAAGTTGTGACACTGAGTAACAGATTTTAGTTTATATGCGACAGTTTGAGAATAGGAGGAATTGATCAACCAAATATTTGCATTTACAGTCAAAATCGAAACTGTTTAATGGTTTTAAGATTTTTCCCAAGATTCTGAGCATCAAATGAAACCACAGATATCTCTCAGATGGTCAGAGAAGCAGTGTGGATTTATTCAAATTTACGCATGCATTGGAAATAAATAATATTAATGTTTTATTACCAAACAAAATAATTGTTTTCAATACTATGCAGTGTTCCATGTGTTCCAGTGTTCCAGTGTTTTATAATGTGAATTATGATGATATTTTTGAAATAGATTCTTTTGCAACCATTAATTTCAATACACATCAATATGTTTTTTATTCTCTGATGTTCTTTTCCTAGAAGACACACGGAATTTGTTTTTGTGTTTATATTCTCATTCTGTATTCTTTTGCAATTAGATCATTTGTTAAATATATAAAGTCTAAAATGATACAACTCACCAACAAAACCTTGTTGAAAGCCTGCTAATTTGTTGATTTGGTTGAAGTCAGGAACACTACCAATGTACAGAGGTTGTTCCAGGTCCAAACCTACAAAGGCACCTTGAGTCTTGCCAGTAACAATGCGCTGCTCATCAACTTCTAAGGTGCCTAAGAACAAAGATTTCATTCATAAATATCACATAATACAGAGAATTTAAGAGGCATTCTTATGAAATGTTTTACTATTCTCAAGAAAAATTATGTCATGAAATATTTGTTCAAATTTTTTGAATTTCAAGTGCAGAATAAAAAAAATGTCTAAATAGAATTCAGTTGTGTTTGTTTACTATACAATTTGAAGTACACTCACAAGTTGGAATACATATACTGTCAAACAATTCTACATGCACTAAAGAAGAAGTACTTGAAGAAAAATGAGACAAGAACAATTAATGTAAATGGAAGCAATGAAGTTAAATGACTGGCAGCTGCTACCTACTGAATGAATTAATGAAATACCACTAAAAACTCCTATTTTACTGAGAGTTAATAAGATAATTGGATTGAATTTTCAAGTTAGAGCAAATTCGTAACCTTTTTGCAAAAAGTTTTTGTTGTTTAATTGTGTCGTTTTTCTTTCTTTCCATTAAAAAAGAAAAGTTAAGAAGGATAATTTGTGAACAAGTACATCCAAATAACAAACTGATTCCTCCACTATGAAGACATATTCAAACATTTGCAAGCTTTTAAGAATAATAGTTTCAAAATATTATTACTAACAGAAACTGGATGCCTTAATATTAAGGCATAATAGAGAATTTTTCCAATTCTATGGTATTATAACACACTAACATGAGACAAAAATAAAATTAAGAAACTTACCAAGTTTACGATTGCGATCAAGTCTTGCTGTATGCCATTTACCTAACATTACTGGTTCATGAGATCGAATTATTGCTGGACCTGAACCCACATTGAAGCGGAATTCTACATAACTGTCATTCAAGCCAAGAGATATAAAGTCTCCACTTCCATTCAAGTGTTGTCCATTGTACAGAATTAAGCCTGAAAATATGAGAATAAATTAATATAAACCTAGAATAAAATAGAAATATTTTTCTTATACTTTGATTTGCGTTCTGTGATTTGAATATGTTCAATACTCGAAAGTCATTTTTATTAAACATTAATGAGCTCTGCAGCCTGTTCTATTTTTGAACCTTTTTAATGAAATTGGGAATGCAAACAAGTTTCAATTTTCTATAGAAGAATAAATTATAATAAAATATATTTTAATACTACTAAACTTTAACAATTGTGTGATATCAACCTGATTAACAGATCTTTGTGATTAAAATCTATAAAATGTAACAGATTTATAAATAAAAATTAGCAATTTGTTAACATTCATTAATTTACAATGACATAGCTTGTTCCAATCTTAAAATTTTTCCATTAATGGACATGAATTATAATGTGAACTGAATTCATAATTTCAAAGACTCATTCAAAGATTACTTCTTAAAATCAACTGTCTTATCTATAACTCAGATATTGCCAACAACCCCTCCCAACTTTATCTTCCAAAATGTAATGTTGACAAAACTACAAGTGAAATGCCAGCAATGATGGCAAATATTAGTTCCAATAACCAAGAGCATTTATTTGGCATAATTCATAAAAATTATTTCAACCAACTTTCCAAGGTTCATACCAAAATTTTAGTAAAAATATTCAATTCTTGAGGACAATATTTTGTTCACATATTTTAACATTAGTATTGCCATTAGCCTCAGCAGCAAGAAGAAATAAAGAAAGACAAGGAGCAAGAGGAGATGTAGGGGAGACCACGGGTAAGTTGTCATATTTTTTGCAATCCTACTCTTTGGAAAGAAAGTAAATAATTTTGATTAAAATATGTTGTATTCATCTGCAGAATGAAGCTTTGGCTACATTTCAAATACATTTATTATTGTTATTATTTTTTTTTTTTATTATTACTATTTCATTTATTATTATTATTACTATTTCATTTATTATTATTATTACTATTATTATTATTATTATTATTATTTTCAAGATCTAATCCAGCAGGTAAAACTCATTACATGATTTATGTTTTTAATTAATGTATTTTGATTTTAATTTGAAGTCACATAGATTAGCACTCAAAATTTAAATCTATGAAAGTCCTTTGAATCTTATTTTGCTCTCTTGACAGATCAAAATTAGAATATTTATCTATAATCTGATCCCCAGACAAGAAAAATCTTAGTAACACACTTGAAAAATGTCAAAGAAGATTGTTAAAATATTTAGAATACCGTAATGGTCTCACAGCGGGGAATCGATAACATTTACCTACAATCAATATATTTAATTTACAAAGTCTCGCTCTTAGAAGGCAATTTCAAGAACTGTATTTCTGATTGAAATCATTAAACAGAATTTTGATTGTCCTTATATTTTTGAACAGGTGTCATTTTTGGTTCCTAACCATCTGTTAACAAGAGTTAAAAACACTACTGAGTCTTTTTTATCACTGTAAAACAAAATTGCAGTAAAATAAACAAGATAACAGATGTAAATATAATCATTAAGAATGAACTGAGTCAGATCGCTGGCATATGTAGTACAATATCGCTGGCGTATATAGTACACTACTCATTTAACAATTCATAATATTTATATAATTTGGATATATAACTATTAAGTAACTATATAACATGTAACTTTTTACTATTACTATTTTTTACTTTCATATGTGCACACATTTTTGCACTTGTTTTGTAAATGATAACATAAAGAACACATTCAGTTGGTGATGCAGCAATCTAAAAACTTTTTCACAATAAGTGAATGAATGACCCTCAATAAAAAGTTCTGAAAATAAGATGGGAAAATAGGTCTGGTGAACACTTATGTCCAGTTTCCCTAACATTTCTTAATTATTCCCTACAGTATGCCTGCCTTGATTTTACTGTAGAGATGTTTGAACTTGAACGTCTTCTGAACTTTATTACTACTACTCAACCTCAATCCCTCATAAATTAAAAAGCTTTTGATGATTATGTATCTCTCAATTAAATTCATCAAAAACAAACAAGACGTAAAGTTATGAAAGATTTTATGCACTCACCATTTGGCTGTTCAGGCTTAAAAGACACTGTGATGCTGAACGTGGTATAAGCATTGGCAAGAGTTGGGAGTGACATATATGAATTAGGTGTCTGGGTAAAGTGAGGTATGATTCCTGTCACTACCAAGACAGTAGGGATATCTAGTTGCCTCAGATCATTGCGCGCAGAACACACATAAGTGCCAGCATCACGAGCACTCACATCCCTCAAATGAAGAATAGCCTGTAACATTCAAAAACATATTAAATTAATCCATTTGACAAAATTTTATTTTTAACCAAGTTGTCAGGGTAGAGGATTCCATTGCTGATTGACAATTTCAACATTTTTTCACTAATAATAAATACAATGCAATTGATATGTTTTATTAGTAATAATTTCCTGATAAAATTATGCATTTCTGGATGAGATCTGAGCGATTGTCTATTCAAATTGTAATAGATGAATGTATGTGGATGAATACAATGGAGAAACAAAAGCCAGGAACATAGAACTAAATAAACAATTGAAAACTGTTAATTCGATAGGTGTTTCACAAATACAGATTTTCTACTAGTACAATTATTTAATTGTCACATAAAACTTAATTTCATTCAACAATACAAACTACAAATTTTCAATCATCTCTTCAAAATTTTTATTAATCAGAGAACACAATCCAATTTTTACCAAGTTTTAAAAGTTATATCAACCGAAGAATATAGCTTTGGGTGCAGATATTACTATTATTTCATTCTTATCATAGTTTAATCTACTGTAGTAATTTTACTTCCATAGCAACAACACTCAGAGTTAAGATGTGTATGTGAGAATAAAATTAAATTTTAAAACCTCACAATTTTTCTTATTTAAATTGTAGAATAAGTTCTTGAAGATCAATAACTTTTTTTATATTTCAACTCAAAAACTTTATTACCCACAATATTAATAAAGAACAACATTAAATAGGGGAAAGAATAAATCAAAATGATAAAAATAAATAAAAATGTTTTAACAGGAAAAATGTTTAACCCTATTTGAAAAGTGCCACTTTGGCTTTAAATATTCACAAATTAAATATTAAAATTTAAAAATCTTCATTAATATCAATTAAAGCTTTATTACTGTGTTCATCACACAACAAATAAAAGCCACAATAAAAAATTGCGTTATTTTTTGGGGGGGCGGGGGGGAACAATACATTTGAGATGGTGTGAAAGAGAAAGGGATCTAGGAGTACAAAACTGAAAAAGCAAAAGTTTGCAGAAGTTTTGAGACAATTTTGAAAATGCTGTTTTCATATATAAATTATCATCCAAAATCCTGAACTATATATTATCATCCAAATTTATAGGGTCCCAAGTTGATGTAAATAGCTTTTTGAATACCAATTATGAAAAATATCTTTGCTAGTTTGGAATTTTTCAATAACAGATGTCAAGACACTCAGAGAAAAAGATTCACAGACAGATATACAAATAAAGAAAGTTTTTGATACAAAGGAATCCTAAGAAAAGATTTTCAATCACAATCTCAATAACAAACTTTTACAAATTGCAGATCTATTATAATATTTGTGGTTGACATACACACAAAATTAAAATATAATAACAACCTACCCCTCTTGTATTTACACCTGGTGGCAAGTCACCATTTTGTTTTGACCAACCATAAGTGACAGGAGGTTCCAAGTCAATTTTGCAATCCATGGTTACAGTGGAGCCATACGGAGCAGAGCGAGTTTCTACTGCTGGAGCATTTTCTGCATCTTCTGATAATCCTGTACACAATTAATCAATTTAATGCAACAACAAATTCATTTTAGTTTTTTTCCTCTTTCTTCCCAAGGATGCATCATTATTGTGATATCATGTTTCAAAAGAGCAAGTCTTTATAATTCTTTAATAGAGATTGTTTCTTGTGGTGCAGCTAAATATTGATATTTGTTAGGGTTACACATCAATGAAACAAAGAAACGATTGGCAAATCTCATATGCAACAATGAAACAACTACGTTTAAACACATTCATCATAGTTAAAAAGTTTCAGTACTGATTTATTATTCAAACCATTCAAAGCTCATTACTTGTTGTGCAAACAAGTATTTGTTGATTGCAGAAAACTAATATTTGAAATATTGTTTAGAAAATAAGAAAAAGGAAGAAATCTTAGGTCAAATATTGCTAAAGATATATTAATAACTATTCAAAGAATCCGACATTGCCCAGATGTTTATGACACTCATCTCTTAGACTGGAAAAGGAATGAATTGTATCCAAGAGTTTCCAGGCTTTAGGTTGCTTTGACCTGTGTCACACTGCCCAAACCCATCCCCCTAGCTCGAGCTTGCCCTCCTTCACCCTGCCCTGCCCCATCGCGCACTGCCTCACACAGCTCCAGCCCTGCCTGCCATACTCTGTGTATTTGCTATGATCATCTTTGCTACCACCATCATTGAACAGAAAGACATTGCTGTGTGCAGATATAAACAGATGCACTGTTGCATAATTCTATAAAACATTCATTAACATATTTCACTTTCAATTACTCAAAACCTAACGGTGCTATTGGCATGAATAAATAAGCATTTAGTAGATAATGCTGTAGGCTTTGAGAAATGTCATATTAATTTTTATGGATTTCTCTCTGATTTTTACATATTTGCAAAAACTGAAATAATATCCACTTTAATTTTGATCAATAGATAGGCCTAGGAAAGCGAAACGAAGGAATTTTGTTCAAAAACTCACTTAGAGAAAATCTTTTCTATTGTTTTGCTGGTCGTATGTACAAAATTATTTTAAGGATGGAATGAAAATGTAGATTTGTGTTAAAATGAAAACATTCTTATTTATATTATAGAAAATAATGATCTGAAAAAAATGAAGTATAAATTATGCCTGACAAAATACTTTACCTTTCAGTGAAAACCTCATCAAAATATATTTAGATTAACACAGACAAAAATTGTAAAAAGTTCCAGAGAGGTGCTTTGATTTTATTTATTTAAATAATTAACAATGAAATTCATGGGTACAAAAGAATTTGGGTTTCTGCATTTCCTGTGCTGATTCCTTGCACACTGTGAAGAGCCACCATTCTTAAACAAGCAGCATGTTTCACCACCAGCCAGAAACATCAAGTCAATAAAAACTTCTAATTTCTCTTCTAACTAAACTAAGTTCTTCTTCTTAGTCCCCATTTGATATTTTCCCTTATGGTTTTCATCCCTGGAACTATTCAAATCATTGTCAAGGATAGGCTGAGCTCTCTGTACTTCTGTTAGCCACATGTGGGAGCCCCTCTGGCACATGACATGAGTCATTGTCATTCTGTGATGAACCACAAAACCACTTGAAGAATGGGATCCCACAACAGCTGCAGCAATATAAAAAGGATGGACAGGGTAAACCACCAATAGACTAAAATAACCTCACTTCCCTTGATCCTTCTGCTTCCCCTCCCCTCTCTTATTTTTCCATCATTTACCTCCAGTCACACAGAACCCGAAAGACAAATGTCTACCAGGAATATGATATTTATGTGAATGTGTTGAACCAACTATTTTTGAACCATGTGTTGTTGGTATTTGCATCATTATGGAAAATTGTACTCTTGTACTGTACAATGTGCACGTGTACACAATCTTACCTTGAAGTGTTAGGACATATTCTTCATAATACTGGCCACTGTCAGCTGTTACTGTACAACGATACACTCCTCCATTTTCAGATTTCACATCCTGTATTCTAACAAAGACAAAATATGCAATTATCACACATTATATTACGAAAAGCTAATAAAATAGTCTACACATAGATTAAATTTGTATGCAAATGATTCGGTAAATACAAACCTGAGAAGGTCATCAAATGCAAGTACATTATCAGCAAGTCTTCCGCCAACACGACTCCATTGATAAGTGACATCAGCAGCATCTCCTCGCGCAACACAACGTAAATCCAAATGGTCACCAGGTCGAATTATTTCATGACTGGGGTCAATGCGAAGAACCAAATTCTGAAGTCCTGTATATCATAGATATTTAAATGTTTTTGGAGACACTAAGATAAACTGCTATAGACTGACAATTTAGAAAAACATCTTCATGCATCTGACTTGCAACTCATATTGTTTACCTTCTCATTTCAGACTGTAAGCCATATCATATTGTGTAAGATTAAACGAAGAAAAAAATTATGTGCCAAGATATGCACATCATCAAAAGAAGCTTTCCTAATTTGCATTCAATAGCAAACAATAAAAAATAAACAGTTATGTATTTCAAATGGGGATAATTTCTGAAAAAATCTTCAAAATTATTAACCTTTTTTTTTCTACAAGAAATTACAAAAACTGAGATTTGCAATCTATTAAAAGACAAAAACTGAAGGGCAATCCTTAAAGATAGATTACATAAAACAACAATTCATGATTTCTGATCTTCTCTGAAAATGGTGATTAATTAATATAAAATTCATAATCAAAAATAATAATAATAAATAGAGCAAACAATATGTTATTCAATTTTTTAAAATTAATTTAGATTTGAAATGTGTAGCACATTTAACAAAATATTTTTTCAACGAAAATAAATTAGACTGATTTAGTAAATAGGATCAATATCTTCATACCAGCACAAAATAGCAACCTAAGAGATTTTAGAGTAAATTTAAAAATGAAAAGTAAATACTTCGCATTTATTCTGTGAATACTTATGAAATATTTGATAGCATCATATTGTTTGCCACTTCTATGACAAAGTTGTCTTCTAATACTACACCTAAGCAAAGAAAACAAAACAATATATAGCAAACATTATTTTTATTTTGGTTAATTAGTTAAATTTAAAAGGAAAAACATTGTCTTATTTATTTAGTTATTATAGAATTTATTTTAGTTACTCTACTTTGATTGAAACACAAGTTACTAGTTTTTTTAAACAGACCACACATAAACCTCATTGGAATTGATACTTCACCAAATATCTTGGAATTTTGATGTATCGGCGCAATTGACATTAAAAGAAAATGTTCATACACCCAAGATTCAACAAAATACATACATTTTAAGTTGCAAAAGCAAAACAAGATTAAATAATAATCAATGAAATAATTTTGTAATTCAATATGCATACATTCACATGTTTATATGAGTCATTCAATATATAAACTAAGTAAAATTAACGGACAATTTAACTAATATAACCATTTCAGAGTTAATTAGTTTTAATCAAAAAGCATACATGATAATGTTTATGTGTTTATCACACTACTTTATTTCCATTATTTTGAAAGTCATTTTATGAAATTGGATATACATGTACTTATAAAAAATTAAGTTTGTTGGTTTCAATTTCTGACCTTATTTTACATACAAGACAATGACTCGTTTGTATGAAAATGGAGAATCAGTATTTTAAATTGAATACCCTCAATAGTGTACAATCAATAATATTCTATATGTTTCGTCATTGAAGTAAACTACAGAACAATTAATAGACAAACTGGAATAGGTCAAAAATGTATTAGATCGTAGTAGTAGCAGTATCAGTTGTAGTAGTAGTAGTAGTAGTAATAATGTCAAATGTAGTAATTGATACTTTAGAGTAATTGATGGTGTTCTACACATACATTCTAATTACTACTTTAGAACCATATTTTTTCTGAAACTCAAATATTATTATTTGGCAGAGTAGTCTTGAAAAAACTTGCTGTTAATATTGAGATAAGATTACATCAAAATTCCAAGCAATTTGGTTTGGAGGTAATCCCTGAAAGGTCAGTGTGTGATCTATACCTTTAAATATTATAAACATGCATTAGATTCTTTTAATCTTTTGTTTTATATTCTAAGCAACAACTAGTGGATACGAACTTGAAAAATGCATGCAAGTGCTATTCAAAACCAACCAGTGCATATCTTGCTACTCACAGCTTTGGTTCCAAGCATGGAGCAAAAGTAAATTTATTTCATGGAATGCTGCACTACACTTCAATGAATTATCAGCAAAATTAATTATCTTACTCTACATTAAGGCTATTCTGACTAAAAATTAATAAACTAACTATTTGAAAATAAATAAATAAATAAATAAAAAGTTACCTCCTTGAAACAGATATATTTCTCAGGAAGGCAAGAAATTTTGAGATACACAAAAAACAGAACTAATGTAATAAATAAAATTATATTGTTAAAAAAATGACACATAATTAACCGATAATTTCAAAAGTTTAGTAGATGGATTGAGGGTTATGTAATTTTCCACTAAAATTTAACTCAATGTTACATAATATGTCTAAACTGCCCCCAGATCTCAAATGTCGAATATATTATGAGGGAATTAGCTTTATCTTTTCATTTATACAACCCTTTTTCCTTTTCCCTCCACCTCACCACGAAGCAAAGGTTAATGGCCCAACACCTTTTATCACTACGAGTGTGAAATAATATGAGAACAAATGCAAACCTTCCATTTTTGAAGTTATTTGGTATTATATTAATACTGGGGAATTATAAAATGTGATTTCTTTGCTTCCTTGATTTTTTTTAAAAATTGCTCAATTCAAGAGAAAACAGTTTTACAACTTTAGCCTAAGAAACAACAAAATAGTTGCCTGATAAAATTAAAAGAGGAAGAAAAAAGTTTAGTCTTATTTATCTTATTTACTACCATTGTGTCTGAAAATATAATAATAAACTATTTAACCAGTCAGATAGTTTAATTCACAGAATAACGTTATCTAGAGAAGGGATAAAAAATAAAGAAATTTTGTCTGGATATGTATATAAAAGGAACATGAATTCTATGTCATTAACAGCAAATGATATATCAATTGTTGTGCCAGTTGAACCCGAAAAGGAATATGAAAGAATAGTTTGCAAAATGTAATTTGCAATATGTTTTTAAATTATTATCAATATTGACCTGCATTATGGTCTTTTATTCACAAAACTGAAAAATTCTTGGAGAATTTAATTTAATCATTTACTGAGTGCAGGTATATCAATAATCGTTACAATGATAAAATAAGGTTGGAGAAGAGTTAGACACCAACCACGTCCTCGGCGTGTTGTACACTCCTCCTCATCGCTGCCATCACGACAATCAGGTCGTCCGTCGCACACTGATCTCGCTGGCACACACTCCAGGCTGCGACGACACTGGATAGCACCTTGCTCATGGCACCCTCCCCATACGTCTATGGGTGACAAGTAGAGTCAGCAGGAGAACACTATTTGTTAGGACAACATGTACTCCTTACAAAAAAAAATGAGAACGTAAAAACTGTTGTCCAAAGATCAAGTCATTATAATGGCCTCAAGTGAATGAAGAAAATGTGTTTGATGATCCTCTGAGATGCTTATTAAAATAATTGATTATTACTTAGCTCACCCACTATAATAGTATTAATTGAATTAGATATTTTTAATGTTGTATGCAAAACTCCTAAGTAATTTTATAACAAAAAATATTGAGTTTGGCAACCATGTACATAAATTTGTTTATTACACTAAACGTTTTCACAGAAAATAATAAATTTAATGAGGTTGCAAATGATTGCAGACATGCATCTTGTAAACTGTTACTGAATTGATAATTTTGTTGATTCCATAAGAAAATAAAAATTAAACAATATTTCCATCTTTCTTTTCACAAAAACTTTACAATAATGAAGCCAAAAGATCTGCTCTTTAGTAATGGAAAAATGTCTTCCCACTTTTCTGAATTAAATTTCCAAAATACAATAAACAAAAATAGTTGTTTTGTGCTAGGCATATATTAGTACAAAGTACCTGAGAATTTATTTTAAATACATCATTTTGAGTTGTGTTTTTGGTGAGAGTAGAAATGACTGTTGAAGTGTGCTTATAGAGGGATTTACAGTGATGACAGCCACAGAAGTAGTAATAGTTGTGGTACCAGAAAGAAAATATAAAATATTATTAGCTAGTTCTTATTTGTACTGTGATACTAAACACTTTTTGGAATTGAATTTCAAAAATGACATTTCACATTTCTAAACAGTGATGAACTTGACATGATTAAAATTCTCCCATGAAAAATGACTTACATTATTTTCTCTTCTTTTCACCTACTTTATGGAGATATCTTCCCCCCCCCCCCCAAAAGCCATTTACATCAGCAGCATGAACACTGTGGGGATGTCTTCTTCGTATACTCATATCATAGTTTCCTAAAGCGCAAAATAGTACCTAAGCAGAATGTACCCAGCTGCATATTTGCTGAAGTGACTATGAAACATCATTTTTCATTGTTTCTGTAATACATTGCTGCTTTTTTCACCTCAGTCTTTCGTCAGGAGTTGATTCTTGTATTATTTTTATTGGTTACCAATCTCAATTTTTTTAGTTATAGAGTTACATTCTACAACCATTTCTTTTTGTTCATGAACAATATTGATTTTTGTACGTATCTTTGTCAATAATTGTAATTATATATTAACAGTTAGTCTTTATTTTTTGTTTTAGTTCATCAACAAAAGAACAGAAAAATTATTTCTGTAAATTATTCTTCATATTGTGATCCTATAAAATTTTTGTAATTCATGTTCAAAATTTTGATATAATTAATTCAAAAGGATAAAATTCATTTTGTGAAATAAAACAAAATGTAAGAAGGGTTTGTAAAGTGGTAGGAAATTATTTGAATGTAAGTGAAAAAACTCAATGAAATAAAATAAGAGAAACAAACATATAACAAGGGGTAAAAGAAGAGAAAAACAAATTGAAAATAAATACTCTGACACAAACAAAATCAGTAGTTGCCTTATTTTTAGCTTTATGATTCAAAGATCTTAAAGAGAAAGCATGAATATAAGATTTAAAAAGTGTTAGATTACCAAAGAGTATTATTGTTTGCAAGCAAATTTCATGCTTAAGTGATCAAATAAATATACATAATTAATAGCAAAACTTAATGCAATCAAATTATTACTTCAAAAATCCAACTTCATGCAAAAAGAACATTGTGTTTTTATCTAAGTGCTCTAAATGTTCAAGGCCAGCTCTAGACAACAGCACTTACTTAAGATGGCAAGTATTTGAAGTGGCATTTCTGACACTTCTCAGAAAAAAAAAAGTTATGTTTGATGTTGTTTTATTTTTGGGGAAAGGGAGAGATTTTAAAATGATTGGCTTTCTTTATCAATCAATTAATGTATGTTTCTAATATCTGAATTAAAAATATTTAACATCATAATACAATTCATTTTATTATTATTTTATAAATTAAGTAGAATTTGTCTTCATGAAGATTTGAAATTAAAATGATACATCTGAAATGCAAACATTTCAACTCTATAATTCTGAAATGCAGAATAAAATTTGAATACTTCAAAATCATTGATAAACCACTTCTTCCTAACACCGTTTGCAATGTATTTTATTAAATATTTTATTATTTTATTTAATGTCAAAATGCAAAAATCCTGATATGACTTTGTGGACACAGCTCGCAAATGAGCTACATTGAGGAATACATAAGTACAGCAAGGATCCAGGTTTGTGCTCTGGATCAATACATGCGATGGAAAATTATGGTCAAGATGGGGAGTTCATCATAAAAATGGCCAAGAAAAAATATTACTCCAAAGAGTACTAAAATACCTAAAGCTGACCTTGAAAAGATTACTGTGCAATTTTAATTACCAACCAATGTGTTCAAATCATCTACATTTATATAAAACCTACTGTTTCATTAAATGATAAAAATATTACAATGCATGCAAATCTACTTTGTACAAATAAGTCAATGTCATATTTTATTGACAAGTACCAATAGATACTGTCTTTATCCATGCGAATTTGAAGATTTAATCTGCAATAAAATGAACATTTACACAAAAAATACATAAAAAACACAATAAACTAGACCATACAGAATATTTTAAATTTTTGCTATCAAAACCAACTCATTTTATTCATGAATATTTGACAAGAGAAACGAAAATCTTATAGCACCTGTAAGCAATATAATATAAACACAATATGTTCTTGCTTCACTGTAGGTGGGAATAAATTGGATTTGAACAGTATCACTTGGGGAGGATGTAATAGATCCCATAAACTAAGTAAAAAAACATTTAAGAAAGTAATTGTTGGAAAATAATACAATGAACTGGTCTTGATAGAAACTCTTCACTTACTATAACAAGAGCCATACATTTTGGCATTCATATTGCTGGCAAGCTGTTGAGAAGTTTATGTATTCTGAATATACCCACAACAACTGCTTTTGCCATATATCTTCATGAAAATTACTGATGATATGAGAAAAATTATTGAAATTTAAAAGAAAGAAATTTATATTATCTAAAGTTAAACTGAATTTCTAAACTGTAGCTGAACTCGATAACCAATAATATTTTTAGCATCCAATATGTCTAAAAGACGTGTGCATTCTTATTTCATCTTTTTAATTTTGAATGTGAAAAAAGTCAATAAAAATAAATTGCTTAGAATTCTATTTTTAGTTAATTCTTCTAACCATTTTTGCAACATTGTTTTGTTATAAAACATTGATTTCAACACTTTAGAATAGTGGTTATGACAGTAATATCTCAAGAACAAATGCAGAACTATCAGATCCCAAGAACAAATGCAGAACAGTGGGACAAAATTGTAAAAACAGAGTCAGCAACTGCAAGAAAATGTCATTGTCTTATCACAATCAATCCTTTGCACCAGTCCTTTTTTGCCTGAAAAACACAGCAACTTTACACAAAACTCAGAGATCCAAGTTACACATGACATGTTTTATAATGACTCCTCCATGTGACTTTAATTACTTTTCAGGTATCTAAACAGTGATGAACTCAAGCTGTTGAGTACGAGAAAGAAATGATGAATGATGATGTAGGTTGCAGATTTGTATAAAAAGTTGTCTTTACTCTTATAATTTATAAACACAAATTCAATGCACTGTTTTCAATTTTAGTGAGAACAAATTATTGAGTCACTTAAGCCTCTTGTCTAAACTTTTTAATATTATCAGAGAGCATTCATTATAATATATGTGCCATGATTCACAAAAATCATTATTCCGGTTTTTGATTAGTAGATACAATGGACATTTCTAAATAGATTCTTTTTAAACTTAGACTGCAAAAAGCTTGCCAAAATAAAAGAAAATGTACTATATTTTCCTAAGAGAGTTTGATTTGGTTCAAATGACATAAATAGGAATGTAAAACAAATTCTATTTATGAAGATAAGTATATCTCTGTTTATGAAGATTAATAGAATTTTGGTTATACTTTTTATGTAAATCATCAACATCACCATCATGAAATGTGTATATTATTTCTATACAATTAGAGACTATACTGGCTATCAAGAAGAAAAATATTTATTTTAACAATGTATAATGCATTACTTTCCATTTGTATTGTATAATTTTAAAAATACTTAATATGCATGTAGCAGGTAATGCATTTCAGATGCTGAGTCTAGTTCATTGAGCTCTTGTTTAGCTAGTTATGGTAGGAGTAGAACCAGAGGCTACAATTTTATTAGCCTCAAAAATCAAAGTAGTTCATTTCCCATTGCAACAAAGTTTCTATAACAAAATAAAAATGTCTAGTTTTCAAATGTTGCTAACCTCACTTTGTTGGTACTTTTATAGATCAACACTTTAGGATTGAAGGTGGGTTAGAAATTCAAGAACTCAAGAAAACATGTTTGCGTTTGTGATTCTGTAGTGTTCTTTTATGCTTTTTATTAATTATTTTCATGGTCCTTCTTCTTCTAATATTAATCATAATTTCTCTCTGTTAATACTGTCATTAGCTTTCTTAATGTCAATTAAATTTATGTTTTGCAGTCATGTTTCCTGCCTTTTGTCTGTTAGACTTTTAATGTAAATACGTTAATGTAATGTAAATATTACCTCCCTTGTACTTGTTACTTTGAAGAATCTACATAGTTCCATTTCTATGATTATTTTACAACAGTTCTAAATTAGTTTTTTATTGTGTTGGGGAGTTTCAGACTGTTGACATAAATACAATGTCCCCAACAGTGGTTACATTCTTTCTATTTTTCTAAAATCTCCTTTTTATTATATCTTCCTGCCTATCTTTTGGTATTCTTTCTCCTTCCAGTACTACTTTGTCATTGTAAAACTTTTTCTTGTTGTTTCCCTCCAAATTTTATTAGTTCCAAGTTCATTTGATCTTTCTGAGTACTTTTCCCATTTTTAATTCTTCTTGGTTTCATTTGTTATTTTCAGCATTGGTTTATCTGTGTTATTTAATTCTAATAGGGAAGACGTCTTTTCCCCTTTCTTCTTATTCTTGAATGTCATAATGCCACAGATCTGTGTGTGTTATACTTTGCCCATGTCTTTATCTTTTCAACCTATTTTCAGTTATTCTTTCTTTTCCACGTTAAATTGTATGAAAATTTTGAAACCAATTCTTTGAGGTCCTTTAAAGTTTCTTGCTATGTATATTTCTGATGTTGCGTATTCTGATGATACAGTAACATCTGTCTAAATTGGAACCTGTACAAGTTGTAAACCTGCCTTAACCAGAAAATTTATCTGGCTCATGAAGTTACATGGTACTTTATACAGCATACAACAGAATCTCTCCAGCACAGAAAGGGAATGGTTTTTCATGGGCTAAGGGGGAGAAAAATCTTTATAAATCGTAATTCTGCGAATGCTATTGGCAGAGACTCAAGATATTCTTAATGTACTGAATGTATTTGCAAGTCTGTTTTAAAAAATTCTCTATCCCATGCGATTTAGTCTTGGCAACCGCACTGTGAAGGAGAGAAGCTTCAGCTGTCAGCTTAGAATGCGACCTTGGGGTCACTTGTATCTCAAGGCATAGGTCATAGGGGAATTCCTCTTTGATTGTTGGAAGGTTATTCGGGCTTGGCTTCTATTCACGCCACTCTCTGCCCCACATTCAAAATCGAAACACATAACTCCTCAGCCGGAGACAAATTGTTCAAGGCCATGTGAGGGCCAAGCCATGTGAAACTTTTTTTTTTTGTCCCATTCAATTCTCATCGAGACAGATTTTACTGTACTTGTTATTATTCTAAATTTTACTCTTAAGCCTTCTATTTTGAAAGCAATGTTTCATTGTTATTTTCTGTAAATATTTTTTGTTTGTTCTTTTTTTTCTTGTTTATAAAGTCTGTCAGCACATTATTGCATGTTCTTAGCCATTTTTTCTAAGAAAGGTAAAGGAAGATGTCCACTAAAATGATTCAGAGGATAGTAAAGGAAGAACTGCATTATCACATTATCATCAAAAGTGCCAGGAGGCATTTCAATAAAAGTAGAATTATGAGTAAATTGCGTTTTAAATGACTGAGAATGAACAAATGGTCAGATATGAAAATGTAAAATGAACAAAAGACAGGATCTTTTCAAAAATTGAGTAAGTTCCTATAACAAATTGCTGTAAAACTATATTATTAAAATACATCAACTGCATTATTTGTTAATCATTTGGAGTGAAATTGACTGCCATTTGCATTACTCACTCTGGGTAACAGTCAGGTTGATATAGTTTGTGAAGCGACCTCCTGGTGTATTAATTATACAAATATAACGTCCTCGATCTTCTGGTTGGACATTACGCAGAACCAATATACCCCCTCGTTCTTCTGCCCGTGAAGGCAAGGGAAGGTTTCGTGGCCGGGACCATTCATAAGAGAAGGCACTCACTCCAGAAGGAACATTACACTGCAACTGTATGCTTTGTCCTGCCACCACTGATTGGTCTCGAGCACTTGAAAATGGTTGTTGTGTTTGCGCTAGAAACAAACAAACAAACAATAAACAATTCACTTTCTCACTTCAACATATTTCAACAAAGGATTAGGAAAAAAAACCATCACAAGTAGCAAACAATTCATTTACTCATTAAATAAAAACAAGACATTGAAGGAAATAGCTCTTACAATCCACAATCACTTCTGCAGCAGACTCCGCGCTACCCTCACGATTTGTTGCACGACACACATAACGACCAGCATCCGTAACTCTAATGCCACGGAACTGAAAAGAAAAATCACTATAATGAATTTTCAGAAATTTTCACAATAGTGAATGAAATAAAAATGTATTTAAATATTTTTAAATGATACCTATCTGGTATCTCTTTCAAGAACTCACGATCAAGATAAAAATAAGCGATCAAACAATAACCAAAATATATAATTTCCATTTAGAGAAGAATGAGCGGAATTAATGCAAAAGAAATGTAAAAACTTGTCTTCAACAAAATACGCACATTATTTATTTTTTCTTATTATATAGTCTTTTCATAAACCTTCACTGAGTCTCATAAGGTAACATTTCATTCAATTTAATTTAAGACTATAAGTTTCTTCCTGAAACTGTCATTTTAATATTGAACATTTACTCTTTATAAAAATTAAAATGTTTTGGAAGAGAAATTCACCTGCAGAAGACCATCTCTAACATATACAGAACTAGGAAATTCACGATCGGGAGTGATCCATTCCAAACGTATTGGTTGATCACCTGTTGCAGAACACGTAATATTTGCATTGTCTCCAGGTTGAACCACTTGCCGAGTTGGTTCCAGATGAATGGCAGGCAAAGCTATAAACATAAAATCATTGAAAGTTCTCAGTTGCAATAGTTTTTTGAAAACATGAAATGAGATTAATGTTCATTCATATTTTGCACACTTTATTTGCTACTACATTCCATATTAAATAAATCAGATGAAATGAAAGAGTTCTTTAAAGTTCTTTTCAATAAATGAAACATGATGTATTTGTACACAAAAATCTTGCAATGCTACATGTTAAAAATCTAGCCAACGATAAATACTTCACATACTTTAATAACTTTCCAAAAATTGACCTAAAAGTTTAGAACTCTTGAATAAAAAAGCTTAGTAATGAGAAATGAATGCCAAATCACCTATTTATGTTGGCAGTATTAGTACTAATAATAAGATATCGATACATGTGTAAAATGACTAAAGAATGATGACGTTGGGTAATTAAAAAAGTATCAAGATGGATGTTAAAAGAACACAAACCGGAAACTGGGAAAAGCTTAGAAATATTGGGCATACTATTTGATCAATTTTGCATTTATTCGAAACAAATTTTGTTTTAATACACAATACATCAAATTCTTCAAAATTTTGATATCAAAAATATAAATATAACCATATGAGACAATGCAAGCAAAAGAGCAAGAAGCATCGTATTATCTAGAAGACAAGAATAGAAAACCACTACCTTGAACTTTCATTTTTGGGCACTGTGTCTCTTCCGGCAGCAAGAACAAAGAGCACAAGCATAAGCTAAAACTATAATTATTCACTAATATTATCCCTTTGTAGTCAAGTAATGTACTACACAATATTTCATTTGTCAATCAAGTGCTTGTGTGGCATGGAACACACCATGAGTAATGCATCTGTCATTATTTGTTAATATTTAATTAATTTATTTATTTTTACTTAATTTCCTTTGGAAAATACTGTTTTTACAATTTAACCCAAAAATATACAATAAAAAATACATTCAAAATTTACATACATTGAAACACATTCTAAATTTACTCCAAAGGTTAGACAAGTACACAAGAAGATTCAACTTTCATTTTAAAATATAAAACACAATAAGAAGCAAGCTACTGTAACAATGAATTTCTTTTAGAGATTTAATGAAGAACAATTAAATTTAATCTCCTGGAGAATTTGGCTGAACTGTTGATAGGCAATGAAATATTGGAAACTCTTGAAAAGTGTCCAGTGATAAGTCCTAGAATCCTAGAAGGAATGTGTTGCAGAAGTTCATGACACTGTAGATTAACTTAACAAAGAACATAAATGTCTAAATCTTCCTAAGGCTTTAATGTTTTTGCAGATTTCTAATGTTTAAGTTATTTTATTTTCTCATGTTCTTGCAAGCTTTTTGATCTTGCTTACGCTGTTGTAGGTTCATCCTGACCTAAAGTATCAGAAACATTTGACAATGCTGAGAGGATGGTTATCAGTCTGTAAGTGGCATGGTACAAATGATTTGTGTTTAGGCATTTGGTAATCATGACTCATACACGTTGGTAATATTTAATTGGAAAAGAAAGAGTAAAAAGCATTGTGTGCAGAAATCACTGGTATTCAGGACTTACACACAGAAAGGGAAATGCAATCAGGTATCACACCTTTATTTGCAGGAAGTTGGTTGAGTTGACAATGTCTGATAAAGAAAAGTGCCCATAGGAAATGATCTCTGAATCAATGAGGCTGTAGATTAGAAGCACACAGTTAGCCTTTTAAATATTTAACACAATGCAAACTTTCACTACCAGAATCTATGTTTAAATTTCCTACCAAGCTAATGTGATGAGCCATATTAAAAAATTAAAGAAAAAACTTGAAAAGAATAAATTTTCACTTCATGGCCCGAGCCCAAGTAACTGTGCGGGAAAAATCACCGCATTGGGAAAGAAAAAGCTCAGTTGGGAAGAAAACATGTTGACAATTTTGGGCATGACCTTCTAAAGAGAACTTTCAAAAACATCACAATTGAATATATACGAGAAGCACAAAGTGACAGGGATCTTAGTCCTGAGCCAACATCGCCAGTGCCAGATTCACCACAAGCCCTTACGCTATCGACCATTGTTCCAGCCAGTGAGCTACCATGAGCCATGGAGCCATGACACCTCTACAGAGAGAGATTGGTACCATGATAAGCAGCCCGTGTCCTCACAAGTGCTTCTCAACTTCCCTTCTTCCTCTATCTTCCCTCTCTCAGTCTCCTTCACTTACTCTTTAAGTTATGTAAAAAATGGTGACGGTTAGAGTATAAATATTAAATGTGCTTTGCAACGAGCTTGCTTGTAATCATTTTCACCTCACTCTTCCTCCGAACCACTCAGTTCCTTAATGTGAAAGATCTCTTGCATGAATTACACTTGAAACTAGCAATCCCACAGGAGGGACATCACACTGGTATGCCATGGTCTAGTTGAATTCATACTTCTCCCAGTCTTAGTCAAGTAGGAGGGGCCCACCATGTGACTTTGGTGGTATTTGTGGCTTTGATGGTATAATGGCTATCGTATCAGGCTGTTGTAGCCAAGTTTGTGGGTTCAAACATGACTGACGGATTTTTCACCTTGAACTGCCCGTCAATTACTTTGTTACGAATCTACTAACTTTCTTCTATATTTGATTTATTTCTTTACTACACAATTTGCCCTATTTATGTGTCAAGGTCAATCCATCATGATAATTTCTTTTCACATTGTGGGTTAGACAAGACCATCTCTACAATTTCTCGGTTCTGCAAATTTACGTAATAACATTTACTCTTTTCTTTATATTTGGGACTTGGGAATTTTCCTTACCATTACCAATAATAACAATATCTATTTTAAAAATCAAATGAACATTGTAATTCCTGTTCTGCAGATGACATAAATAAACATTTCAATCCAGTCCAATTCCAATCATGGTAGCTTTTTCTTTCCAAACACAGTTTTATACCCCTTTCCACTTATAACATTTTTACCAATTAATAATTTACACCATGGATTTGTTTATGAATTCGGAGAACACTCCCTCAAGACCTGATCATCACCCACTTGTAACACTTCTGCCATCCAATTCCCACTGCCTTACAATACGTTCTTCTTATTTTTTTGTAATACACCTTCTTTTTCTGGTGTGCACATCTCAGATTCTGTTACCCATTACATGATCAAGGCCACGGATTTTTAAGAATAAAAAAATCCTTTGTATGCCTTCCTTCAGAGGGAAAGTAAAGAAAACTGTCTCATGTTGTAGATTTACCACATGTAAAAGTTCCTATGCCTAAAAGCCTAAAAAAAACCTCTGAGCTTAATTCAAATCAGATGTTTCATCATCCAAGTGATATTTTCTTTCTCTGCTAAGGAGCATAGCAAAATTTTGGTGGTCAGATGGAAGTGTAGGCTTGATAGTCGAAGTCTCGCCATGTAAAATAAGGCATGAACCAATTAAATAAATTACTAACTAACTGTTGCCGCTGATGATGTCTGCCTCAGTTGCAGGCAAAAAATCTGGGAGAACTGTGAATTCAACTGGATCATGGACTATCTGCCAGATTTTCAATCTTTAAATATGATTGAAAAGTAGAGAGCAAATGTATTACAAATCAATTCCAGATTTTCTGCAACCGAGTCTTGATACAGCAGACAGATATGTTTGTTTGTTGATTGATACTGACATAAAAACTTCCAAGGTAAGGAAGAACTGAATTTTTTACTTGTTTCATGTGCCTTTGATAACATGAAGAAATCAATATGCTTTCTAAGTTTGAAGGCAATGCAAAGAAGGTAATCCCTTCCCTTTTTGTATTGCATCTGTGAATTTTGTTTAAATATAATAATTATTACTTTTTTAAATTTGAAGAAAGATTTCAAGAAAATAGAATAACTAATTGTATTCCAGAGTGAGTTAGAAATGGTGTCTAGATAAGGCGGGTTGTTCCTATGTTGCTTAACACTGACCCCAAAATTTTTGGGGAAGCAAGATTTGAATTTTTAACTTGTTTCAAGAACATTTGGCATGGGAGAAATCAATTCAGCACCTGCAATCTCAACAGTTTGAACGCAACGCAATGTTGGGAATAAGATGCCAATTTTTATGATTTACAAGAAACATTTTTATTAATTATTAATTTTCTTAAATTTGAAGAAAATTGCCAGAAAATAGAGTAACCAATTACATATATTTTCTGTAAGTAATTCTATATAATTTTGTTTGGTATATTTGTAATGACATGACTGAAGGTAATAATAAAAAAATAATGTATCAAGATATTAAATTTTGTAGGTATATGTAATAATTTTATAATAGGTGATTGCCTGGTTGATAAATAAATAAATAAATAAATAATTATTTCACAAAGAATTTTTTGAAGCCCAAGTAAATCATAATGTTTTAAGTTATTTAATAATTAGTTAACTTATATCAGTGCTGCCAAAAATTTTGTGAACACTCAAATTATTTGAGAAGTTTATAAGTTTAACATTACAATTAAAGTTAATACAGTTAAGACACTCACCAATTACTTCTAGTCTTGCAGTGGCCTGGAATAACACGGAGTCTCCCTCATATCCCAAGCAAGAATATTCACCCTCATCAGACTTTTGTACTCTCTGGATGACCAACAATCCATCTCGTTGATAAGAATGAGAAGACAACGGCTGACCATCACGGCGAGCCCATGTCAAGAAAATGTTAGCTCCAGGTGCTGGAGCTAAAACAGTGGCAAACAATGAAAATTAAAAAAATATTTGTTTTAGCCAATCAATTATTTAGTATGATACTATTCCATCTACTAATTTAGTTTCAATTTTCTTCACAGATTTTTTAACCCTTTTTGGATTGAATTTACAAAACATTGACATGAATATTATCAATTTAATTCCTTCATTATGGAACACTATGGATTTACAGCATATAACTCTTATAAATGTAATTTATTTATGAAATTTATAACTTGTTTATTCTGTAAATCAGTTTCTAACTTAAAAGAAATAATTATCTTCATTCAGGTACTGAACCCACTGCAGATGAATCTGCAATTCACATAATTCAGAAATCTACACAACAGTTTTTGAACTTTTGTCAGAAATTGAAGTCCACGCAGGCATTAATGTTACAATAACAATCAATTCATTTCAATGGACAAATCAAAATATTAATTGGCACATATGGTGCGACAGAAACCTGCTTTCTACACAAGTTATGAATAAAACAAAGAGTTTGATGAATTACTTAAATAATAATAACAATTCTCAGACTTACATTTCACAAGGCAGCGCATTTCTGCATTGCCATTCTCAAGCACAGTGAACACTTCTCTTGAAATTGAAACTCCATTTCCAGGCTCACCAGCACCCTGGCTGTCACTTCCTGGTCTTCCCGGTCTTCCTGATCCTCCTGGATAATTCCAAGGTCGGCTGGGAGGACGTTCAGGTCGATAGGGATCTCCTATAATTAATATTCAAATAATTTCTCTCAATAATATATGACTAGGGCAACTGGGACCAGTAAAGTACAACAAATCTGAATATATTTTGCAGAGAGAAAATATCCAGACTAGTGAATATGGCTTTGCAGACAGGGAATTATATTGCCTAGCACTTAATACTGTGCTTTTGAATTTCTTGAAACTATTAGGTCATATACTGCTTATGATGTTTCCAAGGACTACTTTGTGTATAGTGCTACTACAAAACTGCTTTTTAATGAACTAATTAAAGAGGACAAGCTAATATAGGGAATTGGCACACATTTGTCAACAATGAGTTTATATATGCAATATTTAGTGAAAGAATAGTGAAATATTGATAAAATGCTAAGTAAAAAAAGAGTATAAAGGCTGTAACCTACTATCTATCAAATATTATCAACAGTTTTGGCCTAAAAATAAATATTAATATATTCATATTATTAAAATAATGACATAATGTTGTGTATTAATGCACAAGTATGAAGTATATTTCAACCCAAGCAACTATGAGAAAGTGTCAAACTTCATAAGGTGTAGCAATACCCATTACATCAAGTTTCATGTTTTTTTTTATAAGTAATGGAAACAAATAAAAGTTGAACCTAGTTATAATTTCTGTCTTTTGTCATCCTTCTGGATATGATAGTTTCAAGTTGATTCACTCCCAATCACCATTTTAAAATTTTGCTCTGTTGCAATTTTCCTTCACCTCTCCACTGCCCATCTCTACAGATTGAAATTTGTACCAGAAAGCCCCATCATGATTAATTACGTCACAATGCTTGGTTAACAAAGCATCACTCTGATTTGTTCCATATTGAAGATGTATCATATTTACTCTTATTATAAAACGAAGATGCAGATATCTAATAAGAGAATCATACTATGGAAGAAGAAAATATTTATGTGAATAAGTAAGAGTATTTTATGAAGAACATCTAATTAATAAGATTTTTTTTAAACGATTAATTTCCATGACAAGCTGATGTTTCTGCAAGCAAGGAAAATTTAAAAATACTCTTTTGAAAATCTCAGTATCTTATACGAAAATTGATACAGTAAAAACTGTCTTAAGCTGTCACTAATATCTCCAATAAAAATTGATCGTAAATAGAAGTGTCTGCTGAATCGAGGTTATGACTTTAAAGGAAGTGCATCTCAGGTCTAATTGTGCTAACTGCCATGGAATAAAATGCTTTAATTACAACTACAAAATACTATTTTTACAATAAAAAACTACACTTGAATTATAAAATATAGGCAAAAATGTCCACCCAAAGATTTTCTCATTTTTTCATGAACAAACAACATGTAGAATTATTTGTTCAGAAATTTTACATTGCTTTTTAGCTGTACAGATTTTGAAACTTTATAAACGTGTATTTGCTTAATAATTTTGTTAATTTGTATCCTTCTGCGGTTGGAAATGAATCTAAGAAAATTTTCTTTTAGAAATCTTTTTTCTTTTATTTTGTAGTCCATTGTATATGTTCATTACGTATTATACATATTATTGTTTACCTTTGTTATCTCATACAAATGTGTATAATGAAAATGATACAAACATGTACAACTTCATTGGATATGTGTATACCAGCTGTTGCTATTCTTTTGTATTAATTAATAAAAATAAATTAATAAATAAATAAACCCTTCTGTTTTCTAGGATCACTTGCTGCCACTTGGCTAGAGTTAAAAACCCTTCACTGGCCACACAGTCTCTTTATCGTGAAACATACTTTCCTTCCTCACCAAACCAAGAACAGCAACAACAACACGAGAAAACTAGACATGAAAATGGAGTTCATATTCTATAAGCATGGCTGTTCCAAGTGAGATTGAGGATATGACACTGACAATTGACAGATTGAGAATATGACAATATGACAATTAAAAAATTACTCAAAATACTTTCTCTAGATATCCATGTTCCTAGGGCTGGTGTGATGGTAGAAATATTTATTAGTAATATTAGGAACACAATGCTGCAAATTTTTTACTTTATTATAGTAAAAAAGTTGGAAATTATTGGATTCACCTCAACAATACACCATCTCCAAATTTTGGCCATAAAATCTGCGTTTAAAGATCTTTTGATCAGTGACTTTGCATCCGGATCAAAGTCTGTTCCCAACATGATTAAAATGGTGAAGATTGAGGGAAGCTACAAGTAGTTTTGTTTCCAAAATTGCCATAGATGGAGGGTTGTGATGTGCATAATTGTGTTAGATTAGAAGCTTTTGAGTTCACACTTGGCAAACATGTCAGAAGTAAGATTCAGAAACGCCATTCAAGATATCATCTAGATATTTAAATTTTGAGGGCCTCTACATCAAGTGCCTTTGTGATTTTCAAAGTTTTCTGAAAAATGGCTGCAAGTTTTTTTCTTTAATTTTCTTTTTCTAGTATAGGAAAGTAATTCAGAATATATCTGATTTTAATTAAAACCTCAGAAATTTTGAAAATTGCAAAAGTTCAAATATTTTTCAAACCTGTCTTACACCTCCAATATTAAAGCCAGCCATTTATTTCTCAATGTAATTTATCCTTCAATTTTTAGATCCTTAGATGAAGACATGTACAATTTATTTTATATGTAGTTAGTGATTGAGAAAATTTGATGGAAAGAGTGACAGTTTTCTAATAATTATTTTATTATGTTGGGTAAAATTGGGTAAGTGGAACCTACTATGATGTTAGGCCTAAGGTGGATGGAAAATAAACTAAAAATCACTCTTGATAGTATACTAAACAAACAGCTTAGTAAGTTTCCAACCTTATATGTTCATGCAGGAAAACATGGGAAGGCAATATATTCAGACCTTTCTGGTAGAGGGAAGAATTGTCACTATCAGCACATTTAGAATCCATTTAATATCCAAATAATGCATTTCATAACATTCACTCTGTATATATTACAAAGAAAAAAATGTTTCTGGAGTTAAAAAAATTACTGTAGATTTACCAACCTGGAATTACATTTGCTTCTTCTACTGTCAACAGTAATCTCTCTTCAACACTACCAGCTGCATTAGTTGCTCGACAGCTGTATGACCCTTCATCTAATTTAGTTACCCTAATAATTTCATATACTGCAGCATGTGGTTGTTCTGCAGTAACTGCTTGAGGTTCACTGCAATAATAATGTGAACGTTAAAATAATAATAATAATAATAATAATAATAATAATAATAATAATAATAATAATAATGATGATGATGATGATGATGATGATGATAATTAGTGCCACAGCAAGACAATTTTTGACCGAGGGCAATGCTGAATCGTACCTCTCCCCCCCCCTCTCCCAAGAAAAAGTAAAGTGAATGTTGTATCAAGAAACTATGAGTTATTTTATTTTAACAAATAACAAAAATTACAATGTTTAAGCTAGAAAAAGTTTTTGGAAATATAATTTAAATAACAGTTTTTCGTAAATGATTTAGTGATCAAATAATACAATTTCCACGATGACCTTAAACGTTAAAAAATTTTGTGCTTAATAAAATCACTTTAAACACATGAAATAATAATATGAATTTCAGTGTAACCTTTCTTAATGTTAGAGTTATTTGATTAATTTCATGTAGTCCTACCTTATTCATATTGACAATAATTAAATATTTAAGGTAATAATTTAATTGCAAAATGTTATAAATATCAGGCAACTGCACTGCAACTTATAAAATTATGATAACAATTTTATCGAGTTCTCAATTTTCTTTCAAATTTTTTACTATTTTTCCCCCATCAGTCCCTTCATAGGGACCCTTGACATGCGAGGCCTCAGGCCTGGTATACCTATGCCTAGCACCAACACTGATAATAATTATGCCTTTAACTGCTAAGGGCTGGCTGACTGAGTCATGCCTCTTGTGTCACGTTTCTTGCTGTGTTGCGAGCTCAGCTCACTCACACATATATACCGTGTAAGACATCTCAGTTATCAGTGAGTTCCAGTGTTAGCCGAAAGAACGTCTGCTCAAACAAACTCATCCAGAGGTTCCCGGGACATGGTGGTTTTGCATAGGACCTCATCCAGAGGCTCCCAGCAATAAACAGAGTGCAATGACTTGTTCAGAGGTTACCACGCACGGAAATATTTTGTGTATCAACTCGTCTAGAATAGTAGAGGTAGTCTAGAGTAGTAAGGGTTAATATTAATAATGACTAAAAATTTTTAAAAAAATGTTTCCTTCATTTATTTCAATGTAATTTGGGGTCCCAACAAGCCCACAGAACATAGCGCTTAAATCCTTTTACAAATAAATAAATAAATAAATAAATAAATAAATAAATAAATAAATAAAAAAATAAAAAATGAAGATCAAAAATAATAGTAATCATGTAAGTAATCATTCCACTTTTCTTAATTACAGTCACACCTTATTTAATCAATAGTTTTAATTCTAGGGCTGTGGCAACCAAAATGGAGAATATGGCAATGATTCTCATGTAATTTTGAAGAAGCAAAAAAAAACAAAAACTTAAAAAACATGAATATAAAATTGTAATAAGAAAGAAAAAAAAACATGTTTAAACTTGTATGCCGAAATAATAAGGAAGTATTCAAAATGAAATCTGAAATTATAAAAGCAGACCCTACAAGAAGCTCAACTTATTAAAAACCATATTAAGTGTGTATGGTTAACATTGTTTGTATCTAATGAAAATATTTTTTATCACGAAAAAAAAAATTGATTTAAAAAATAAGTCGTAAGCGACAATTTAGATGTGATTCTTAATGAAACTTACTAGAAACTTTCTCCTGGCTTGTGACGTGACCAAGTAAGCATAGGAGTAGGATCACCAGAAGCCCTACATTCCAGATGAACTCTCTGTCCTTCCACTGCTGACACAGGTGATGGAGGAGTCAGAGAAATGCGGGGCATTTCCTGCACATCAAGTTCAGCAGTAACAGTAGCAACACCAGCGGGATTTTCTGCGGTACACAAATACTGCCCCTCGTCAGCCAGTGTAACTCCTTCAAATCTGCCAAATGCAAAACAAGTAATGTAATATTGTTCCTTCCATTATTCATCGAATGTTAAGAGCATTTTGTTATTGAATAAATTTGCAGAATTCTAACATTAGGTTAGTTTTTGGACTGCCATTGGTTTACTATTACATATGTTTAGTCCAGATAATTTTTCGACAGTCCAGTTTATAGTACAACAACTAAAAATACACAAACATTAAACACAATTACAACTTATTGTTTAAAAACTTGTTGCTTAAAAACATAATATTTTCATGTGAATTGGTTAAAACATATTTATTAAAAGTTTATATTCATTTTAACACTTTCAGCTTTGTTAAACAGAAAGTCATAATTGTGTTTAATGTTTGTGTGTTTTTAATTGTTGTATTATCAACTGACTGTCAAAAAATTGCCTGAATGAAACATTCGAAATTAACAATTGTTCTCATTGCAAAAAGATGCAAGGAAATGATCAATTTGCAAATATCAATTTGTACCTAAGAACTCCTCCATCCAATCTGGTAATTGACGGAGATAGAGGCCGCCCATCAGATCGAGTCCAACGAACAGTGGGTGTAGGAATACCACCTGTCACTCTGCATTGCATTAGAACGCTTCCACCAGCTACAATTGTTTGCTGAGGTCCAGGATACAGATCTATTGATGGTCGCTCTCGAGCTGTGAAACATTCACATTTAATTTTCAATGTAACTAAAACATAACTCAGTATTGAACCATTCAAATGAACATAAAACAAAGAAGAAAAGGATTTTGAAATTAAAATCTGGATTTTGAAATGATTAACATCTAGTAATCAATTTGTGATTCTTTTGCTGCGTGCATTTGACCTGGATTACCAATATAACATGTTAGATACAGATTGGGATTGAAATATATATATTGAATAAATGTAAAATTACACATGAACCAATATGAATTGAATTCAATGTGTTTACATTCTAACAAAAAGCCTTGCCTTGTAAGAGTATTCTACTCATTAAATATTTTGGGTATAAATAAATAAAATCAAATATAAATGCTCAATAAATTAATCCTTGACATTATAGACATCTACCCTGAACATCATTTATACAGATATTTCTAATTTACAACAAGAATCGTCTTCCCAGCAGTAACTCTCTACAACAATTTGCCACAGGATAATTTGTCACACACATCAAATGACAATGTTTTTGATCCTATAAAATTTGCTTCTGAGCAGTTCAGTATTTGTATTCATCAACAAAATCCAAGCAATAACGGGTAAAAGGCACTTTAAAAAACTCATGATATTTAAAAATTCATGTGTGTGTGAGTATGTATGTGCTCATGTGTGTGTGCACACTCATGTGTGTGTGCATGTGTGCATATCTGTGAATATGTGAGTGACGGAAATCATGCGTATTTTGAAAGACTCGTATTTATCAAATTTTAGTTAGTTGATATACCCCCCAATATTGGTCTTTGCCACAGTGCAGGGGAGTGTAGTTGGCATGCAATTCAAATGCATAGGCTTCCAGAGACAGTATCTACATGACTCTTCAAGAGAGACTGCATCCTAGGCAAAAAATTTTAATGTTTTGACCCTCATGTCTTTCATCAGGGCAAAATGCAATTTTTCACCTACACTTCACCTGGGACACTTACACCTTTCTACACACGCATGTGCACACACGCTTGTGCATGCAAAAAAAATTATTTTTTTTCTACTACTGTGTGGTAAGTTTCTTGCATAATGGGTAGAAAGGTTGTTTACAAAGAATTAATCATTTTGGTGGTAATTTAAATTCAATGTTTCAATTTTTTCTCATTCTAAAACAAGGTAGAACTGATAAAACAATTTAGGTAGAATTTTATATTTTGCTAATGAAGAAATAAAGAAAAAAATATATGAAAAATTCACTGAAAAACTGAATAAATCTAAACAATATGACTCATTTGCATTATTGACAAGACAATTTTGTATTCTTCATTTCTTTCAGAACATATTTCAGTCTGTACTAAAATCTCAGACTTTAGAATTAACTTTGGATGATAACTGTACACACAACTTTCTCATATCTAGGTAATTGTGAATTACCTTCCTACTATACAAACTTAAATGATATTCATAAATTAACAATAACACAGTATTTAAATACAGGTAATTAGGGATGTCAAAAATACAAGTTAGCAGAAACTATATGACCTTGTGCTCTTAAAAACTTGGGTATTCTCAGAGACTCTTATGAACTTGAGCATACATCAACTAATAAGAAAATAAAAAATTGAGTTAAATAAATAATATCACATCTTATTCGCTTAATATTTTCATAATATAGGGGGAGGGGGTAAGCCTATTAGTGACAAGCTTGCTTTCAAGGCTCTGCCTAAATTTTGAGGGAGAATTTTGTTGTTTGTTTTCCCAAATATACTTACGTTCCACTTCAAGAACAGAAGATGCTTGAGCAGGAGAGCGGCCCGGCATTGAAACAGAACAAACATAAACTCCACGGTCGTGCACAGCTACATTGGGAATTCGCAATATTGGTCCTGCAGGGGCAGCTCCAGGAGGAAGCGACTCTCGAGCACGTGTCCATGATATAGCAGATTGTGGGGCACCAACAGCAACACAACGCAATTCTGCTGTTGTTCCTTGGGGCACTGTCTGTCGTTCTGGTTCTACACGTATAGATGTTGGCGGTGGAGCCCTAAAAAAAAACACATAATGAGTTAATACTTAATTTCATAGTGTGCCTACAAAATAAGTAAAACATTAAACAACTAAATAAATAAGTAAATAATTATTTGATTAATTATTGATTATTATTGATTAATAATTACTTTTACTTATTATTATTGTTATTATCATTATCATCATTATCATTATTGTTGTTATTATCATTATCATCATTGTTGTTATTATTATTATTATTATTATTATTATTATTATTATTATTATTATTATTATTATTATTATTAATTATTATTATAATTTTCTTTCTTATTTTCTTTTCTTACTCATTCACCTATTCTTTAAAGACTACAAGCTATAATTTAACACGTTATCTTCCTGTGCTACGGTGATTGTTTTGTGTTCGAGTATGCTGGCCCGCAGTGTATCTTTGAAAATTCAATCCCCAAGAAAGTACATTATCCTTTTCCTCAGTTAAATTCAGTGTTTTACCAAATTACCACCTTGGGGTGTAGTACCACATCCCAATTCTGTAATTATTAAATTTTCAGGAAAGATTATTAAATCACATCCCATGGGGTCAGATGGTAAAAATCACAGACATAGAAATGTGAATGTTACAATCTCTTAAAACCATTTGTAAAGGCCTATTTACAGTTTAATTCTGTCCATTTTATTTAAGGTTAAAACTATTTAGTGAAGCTTTGTCTAATTTGACATCATAAAATAAAAATGAAGACTATTTGGAAAAGCAAAATACCAAACAGACTTCAATTCATGTACATAAGGACATGCATAATAACAATATTGCAATAAAAATAACAAATATTAGGCATCTAAATAATTTTTCATGTAATTCACAATAATTTTAGCTTCTCCCCTCAAAAGAAAAACACACTTTTAGACAAAATCTTTTTACCTCTTTAGATTCTTTTTAACATGAAAAATTAAACATTCACTTTGCAAGGAAGAAATTCTGTGATCTAAAAGCCACCAAAGCTTTTCTCAAGGAAAATCAAGATGTAGTTATCATCAATTCATATAAGGGTGGAGCTTGCGTTGCTATGGACCGACCTGAATATATATTAAAAGTGAATTCTCTATTCCTAGATGAAAATAAAATATGCACCTTTCCAAATGTAACTAGTGGTGCTACAAATGGCACAGACTTTCTCGTATTAATTTGCTAATGTCTTTGGTCTGTGCTAAATTTTTGGTCTTGCCCATCCTTTTGTCAGCTGCCATTTATCGCCACCAAAAGTGAATTAAAATAAGAAAAAATCATCAATTTTATTATTTTAAAATTGAGATATTCTTGAAATTTCTTGCATTTAAATTGGGTCTAAAATGCCTCCATCCTTACTTCTTACTTGTTTCCCTTCTCTTCTTTCCTCTGTCACATCATTCTACAGTGAGCTTCACATTTCCTCACGGAAGTAACATCTTATTACAATGATTAATTAATAACTTGCATGTCTTCTTTTTTAATTACACATTAGTTCTGAATATGAAAGGTAAGCCTCAATCTACTCGTATTCAGTGTTCCCTTGTTTGTTTTATTGTATTTTAAAAGAATGTTATCATTTTATTGATTGTTTATTTAGCTTTGCTGAACCTGAAGATAGAAGACACTTCTGAACACAGTAACATTATAAAAAGAATAAAAATTTTACAATAACTTGAAATGTTATGGTTTTTAGTCCACAATTCGTCCTGGTTGCCCTAAATTAAAAGGAAACCTCACATATAAAAAAATTACTTGAACAATCATTTTACAAGAAATTTGTAGAGATAGATTATGACAAATACATTTTTTATAATTTTGGTTTTTATCTAGATAAAAAAATACCATTTCCAATTTTACTTTGAAAATGACTTTTCTTAATATTAAAATAGCTTACTTATGACAATCCTATCTTATGACATTGTTTAAAAGTACAGACTTATACTTACGGGCCTGCAGTTATGCTGACACGAGCTTCAGCTGTTGTTGGAGGATAGCCAGGGCGGGTAGATTGACATACATAAACGCCTGAGTGGGCAGGACGTGGAGAGTACAGTAGTAGTGCTCCATCCTGTGATCGGGCACCAGGTGGCAGTGGTGCACCTCCAGCCCGAGTCCAGATGAGGGTAGCGTCAGGAGATGGACCACGGCATTGTAACCGAACTGTTTGATCGGCTGGACCAGAATATTCTGATGGTTCCACCACTGGTACTTGATCAGGACGTCCCAGTCTCTCTGCACATACAACACACCATTTTATTCCAAATACAAAAGCATAAGTGAAAAGTAATTATGTTCTAGGTTTTCTTTCATTCTATCACATTGTGTAGTGTTTTGAAATAATCCATAAACACAGTAAAAATCTTCTACACTTTTCATAGAACCAAAAGGAAAAGGGTGTAAATTGTAGGAAGTGTAAATAAGAGGAAATTATTTTGTTCCTTCAATTCAAAGCATTATAATATGCTTTGATATGCAAAATTAAGATATATAATAAACAATATTTCTAGATCATATAAAAATCTGACAAATATACAATGTTGGAAATTGCAAGCATATTTACACTGAAAGGTAGTGAATTTTAAATGCCACAACAACACTTCTGCTAGCCCAGGGCAATGATATTTCTACTTTTAGAGAAAAATGCAAAGTTTACATATTCTCCAACTGAAAAAAAATTTTTTTTGTCAGTTGGTAATAATTTTTGGCTAGTATATTTTATAATTTTTATGATTTTGAAACAATTTGAAAATATGTACAGGCCTAGCTTCTCAATAATGATTTTCACTGTATTAAAATCTAGTTTTAATGTAACATTTTATAAATATCTTATTAATATTGCACTGTTTCAATAGTCTTTCTGTTATGGCGATGTTAAAAGTGGGAAAGTGTAGTGACAGTGCACGTTGTGCATGAGACGAAGTGCTTTCCACACAGTATTGTGGCAAGCAGAATGTTGCAAATTGCAGGAAAATTGAAATGATACTAATGTAAAAGCGAGGTATTTATAAAATTATGAATATTCAGAATGGGGCAGCATCGACAAGATATGTTGTAAATGCCAGAAAACGTAAATTACAGAAATGCAAAAGCAGGGTTGTACTGTAATAAGTACACTTGGGGTTCTTACTTTTTTTAAGAGCTTCCAAGCCTGAATATTCTCACTAATGACTGTTTGTTCAAAATGTTTCCATTAGAGTAGTTTTAATGCTCAAACAAAAACTCCTAATTAAAGAAATATGTATGTACAATTTTTGCCCATTTTTATGCCGCACGAATTAGTGTGAATTAGTATATTTAACACTTTAAAATAAGCATTAGTTAAAACTCCCTAATTTAGTCTTAAAATCCTTAATTTAAAAAAGTTATTGTTTTCAGCTATTTCTATTCCCAGTAAATAATACAGTAGTACAGTAGTCTACATAAAAATTAGAAATTTTTGGACTTGAAAGCATTTTGGTTAAGTTAGAGATCTTAATAATTGGTGAAGGAAAATATGGCCATTCTCTGTTTTGTGATATTCTCATATGAAGTTGAAAAAATCCTGACTACTTAAAATTGTAACAGTTCTTTTTTGTTTTTGTTTTTTGTTGTTGTTGTTTTTTTGTTTCTTTTTTGTTTTGTTTTTTGTTTTTGGCCCAGCATATAACTTGTGCAAACACAATAGCTATCATACTTTAATGTTATACTCATTTTTAACAATTATTTTCATGACACATAAGGCAATAGTAAAGATAAAAAGTTAAATCCTTCCCCTATATTTCAAACATTTTCTGTACTGGTATTCATAAAATGGAATTTCCAGTTTCACAGATATGTTGATTACACACAGTTAGCAAAGCATATAATTTTGTGAAATAAAATACTTCTAGTTTAATTTATAAAGGTTCATGTACACAGTGCAGTTGTGATTTTAACCAAACAATTGCTTAGTACAATCTTCTGAAAGTCAATCAGAGAGAAAATGGCCATAAAGCAATCAAGACAGTTTTGTTTCAATGCCCATGAAGTATAGCCACAATTGTATGCAGTCTTTAATTTTTTAATCTAATACTTGTGACAATAGAGAAGCAACTCAACTTTTTTTTTTTTTTCTTTTTTTTTTTTCAATTTGGCAGTATTAGTAGAATTGTAAGTTTATTAAAACCTTGCAGTTATGGCTTCCTTCTTCTCTTATACTAAGTTTAGATAGGTGTTGTTGTTATTTTTTGTTGTTGGATTTTTTGTTGTTTTTTTTTGTTTTGGGGCAGAAGTAAGAAATGAATAAAAGCTAATTAAATATCACAAAAACTGCACATACATTTTCAAATCAATGACAAACACTCCACCCATTTCGTGGACAATACAGTACCTCTAACATAAAGTACTGCACGACGAGAAGTGTTCCCTCCAGGACTCCATGCGTGGCAAAGGAATTCTCCAGCATCATTAGGCGTTGCCGCACGAATACGCAGAACTCCTGCAGAAAAGTAGGCTCGTGGACCAAGTGGGCGGCCATCAGCACGAGACCAAACAAGAGTGGGTTCAGGATAACCAGATGATCGGCACACAAATTCAGCAGTTTCTCCATCCGATACAGTGGAAACAGGTGGTGAAACATCAAGTCGTATTGGTTCTGGTATTGGCCCTGAAAACAGAATAGCACAATAGAATTTATAACACTGGCCCAATCAAGCATTCTTTTAAATAGTTCTACATGAAGGAATGTACGTAGAAAATTTAAGAAATAGAGGAAATAGAGAAATACAAATAACATTAATATCAGGATTTAAAAAAAATCAGACATATTTTAGTTTATAAAACTTATATAATTCATCATATAAATTTCCTTAGTTTAAAATTGCACATTAAAACTTTACATTGAAGTTCCACATTAAAATGTATAATCCATCAGAACCTCATTGGTCCTTATAATGGAATATAAATGTTAATGTTAAATTTGAATGTTGAGTTTTGTACAATTTGAACTAATGAAATGCATATGATGAATTATTAAAGTTTTAGAACCTGAAAGGTGTGTCTGTGTTTTTGTCCTGATATTGATATTTGATCAATGTACATCCAGACAGAAAACTAAACCACATAAAAGTAACGTTATCACACAAGTTGTTTTCTGACCTGACTGATGAAGTAATGATGATCCAAAGTCTAAGATGCAGCGTGCACAAAACAAAAACAATAGGCACAATGAACTTCATCCAATCCTCATAAATATTACATACATGCAATTCAGTTTGTAGTATTACAATGAGCAGAATGCAAATAAATGCAAATGAAGCTCGCCCAGGGCAAACATTCTTCATTTATTATGACTTGAGCAACAATTCATTTTACATAGCATATGACTGAATAACAATTCTCATTTGAAAAGCTTTAATTATGAAAAATTTTCTACATTTGGTGACTTTGTAATGTGATAACTTAAAAATTCAGAAAGACTCAGAAAAATATCATCTGAAAAATCCCAAAGATCTTTATAATTAATTTTGTGGAAAAACTAAAAACTAAAACAAGGGACTCAGAAAAGAAAACAAAAGCTTATAAATAATTCATCATCCTGCAAAAATGACATGAATAATATAATGACTGATTTATTATTTTGTGTTTCCAAGCACTTACATATATATACACACAGGTTGGACTACCTAAGTTGATCACAATGAAAATCTTCGAAACAGTTTGAGGATGCAGTTATCAAGCAAAGTTGTTGTAGATGATGGGAGAAATAACATATTTTATTTTCTAGTTTGTAACTTCTTAAATTTTTTATATACTGAAGAACTTGATATTTTTAAATAGAAGTGTATATATAAATGCTGAAGGCAGGTTATCGCTCACTTCTTTTTCCCCATTTAGAAATGCAAATGCATATTCATATTCATTATCATAATAATGTTAATTAAATATGTTAAAAATTTAATTGTTTCATTGAACATGAAATCCTGCCTCCATCCTGCTCCAAGCAGCCGCGGAAGTAGGTAAAAAGTAAGGAACCTCGCATCAACCTGTTTGTACATGGGGCATGGATCCACAGGGAGGGATAACGAAAATGTCCTCCCTCTAAAATTTTTGAGTAACTATTAATTTTAACTTGTCACAAAATTTCCAAGCAAAAATATTTTCGGATAATCATTAAAACATATAAAATCGTATTGCAGTATTGCATCATTTCTCCACTTATGTCATTATATAACCAATAACATTAAAAGTATTATGTAATAATCTTACTGTTGTAGTACAAATTTGATTATTTGGGTTTCGCTGGTTACACTAACAAATGTCCTTGTGAGTTAAATAAAAATATTTAAAATGTCTAATATGAGTAATATAATAAAAAAGACAATGAATTCTTCTTCTTTAAATATTTTTTAAAAAAACTATTGACTTCATGTTGGCAATATTTATACATAAAAATGAAATCAAATACTCACTACCAACATTGAGAGTGGCGCGCTGCGTGGCCACTTCATACCCATCATCTACTGAGCAAATGTACACTCCAGAGTCAGGTGGTTCAACACGGGTAATAATCAATAATCCTCTTCCATCATCTATAGCACGACCCCGAGGAAGTTCTCCACTCTCTTTACTCCAACTCACTTTCACAGGAACCTACAATAAGACATCACATAAATCAAGGTGCATGTTTTTCTGCCAGACCAACATACCCAAAATTCTTATTAAAAAGGCCAGATCACAAAAATCACATTTAAAATCCACATTTGATAAATTTTTATGTTTTCTTTGTTTTCAAATTTGCTTAAAAAAACAAAACATTTTAAGTGCAAAAAATCAATATTTTCTTAAGTTTTTGTTGCCTACGTTGATTACACAAAATATGAAATCCCTAAGAATAATATATCAAAGCCAGTTTTCTAAGGAAGCACTCAAGCCACTAACCTACAATATTAACATTTCTGGGTTGCCAAAGAGAGAAACTTTGAACAATATAAAAAAATTCCATTTTAAAGCATAGGGATATAAAATTGCCTTTTTTGCAGGAGATTTTGCTCTCTGAAAACAGTATACATCTAGAAAATTTAATTTCAGATGATATTTAAAGGAAATAAATAGTACAATAAAAGTTATTGGTTTGCCTGAAACTGCTTAAAAACAATAAAAATCGTTTTTGGTTCTAAGATATTTTTTGGTAAATAACTTTTACCGCTTTTGGTCAAGGATTTTGCTTTTAATTGATGAAAATGTCCTGAATTTCATAATCTAAGCTTGAGAATAGTCCATGTGAAATTATCCAAACATTAAATTCAAATGACAGTCAAGACATAGGAATAAATGAATGAACCAGATTATGGTGCAAAGATAAAGTTGTTGGACAAATAAATTGTGAATAATGGTGTACATCTGATTTTTCTACTGTAAATCCTGCTAAAAGAAAATGCACTATTTTCTGATATTTATTATTCTGATATTTATCCTTCTACAAACTGAGATATTATTAATTACTTCTTACCCGCCGGACAGATTCTCCTGAGCATCTGAAACGAACAGTACCACCAGCATCTACAATCTGAATTGCAGGTCCTAGGATACTGACAGTAATAGTTGGGGGAGGTGGAGGATATTCCGTTGGTGAAGGTGCGACACCTCCATCTGTAGACAATGAATTGTATTACTCAAGAATCAGGGCAGGTACAAAGTAACAAATGACTGTAGTCTATATAAAACAATTGGTTGAATATCATCTGCAAAGAGAAGTACCATGAAGTGTGGGAGTACTATGTTTTTATATTAATATTATTATTCTTATTATTTTATTTTTAGAAATTTATTTCATTTTAATATTTTTAACACCACCAGAATCACTGAGTGGATCCCATTTTTAACTTATTAAAAATTAGAACATAAAATAGCTTTAGACTGAGATCCCTGAAACTAGAGTTTCAAACACAGGTATGAACTAAAAATCAATATCTTTACAATGTTTTTAAAAATCATTTGTTTTGATGTAAGTGATTTTGGCATGAATTATTTCAATTTTTTTAAAGATGATATCATCTATCCCCCAAAATGTTACCCAGGAAAATAAGCTTTTCTTTGTACAGCACAGGGATACAGCTAATGAAAATGAGAAATCCAGTTGAGCCAAGATCCCAAAGACAGTGGATTTAGTATTTTACAGAGAATCAGAATTTGACCTTTACTTTAATCCATGATGTGTATAATACTGAATTTTTCAATAATGTGTGTATTGTATTATACCACTATACACTAATGGGAAAATTTGATTGAATTTGGTAATTGGATCAACAAAGCACATTGTTTGCATTATTATCAACAAAAAAGGATGTACTTTGACTAATATTTTAATTAATCAGAACAACAAACAACACAAATATTCAGTTGTCATTTTCAATGTTAAAGAAACAGATTTTACACAAATTCATTACCAGGAGATCGTTAAACTCAGAAGCTAAAAACTGTGCAACTCTTCTAAAATATTTCAAAATTTAGTAAGTTACTTTTCCCCTAATATGATTTAGCTGAATTTTTACTAGTATTTATTGCTTTCTGTTTTCATGATTATGCAGGAATAACTCCTTCCGATTCATGATGAATACATTTTCAGAACCTCCTGCCAAAAGATTTTCATCTAGCTAATTAAAAATATCAACTTAATAACAAGCCTGATTTGCAGTAAAAGTACTTGAAAATAGCAATTTAAAGGTATTAACAGGCAGTTCTTCTTAAATGTAGTACTTAGAACCTAATTTTCTATAATGCGAGGATGATATATGGGCCTAATTATTAGAATGAATATTTTCTGAGTATTAATTTTGGCTACATCTTCCCTTTCTATCTCAAATACATACTTCCTCAGCTACTGAATTAATCTAATCATTTTTTTTTCATTCTAAAAAATTAGAATTTTTTTTGTCTTTGAATACTTTGTGAAATAAAACAAATAACATGAAATTAAAATTCAATGCAATTCTGTATTTGCAATTATGAAATATATTGAATATTTACGACCAATATTGAAAAATTCATATTTCATACCCAACATGATAATTAACAGAAACATGTTAAATAACATTTAAATAATAAATTTAACATTAAAAGTCAAATCCTGGAAGTCCAACACCAAAGAACTGGAAAGTTAAAAGAAACATCCCAGAAATATTTACATTACAAATACTATTTCACAAATGTAGGGTCCTTTTATCACAAATAAGAAATTAGGAGTAAGATAACAAGACACCCTGTTTTGCTAATTTCTACAGATAAAAATATGTATTGTGTTATTTCTCATAAGTAATTGTGATTAATGAATGTATTTCCCCGTTTTTAACAAAGCAATGATTGGTTAAAGGAGCAAAGCTAAATTGGTCAGCTTTGTGAAAATAATCTTAAGCTTTGGGAAATAAATATAAGGAATTTAGAAGTGTTCAATACATTTTTGATTTGATTCAAAATATTAAAGTCTTTATGAAGCTAATTTGAAATACTGACTTATTAACATGTATAAACTGACATTTCATGATTTTCACTATAAAACGAGCAAGGCTACTTCTTAATATTATGCAAAACTGGATTTTGAAAAACATTGATCAAAACATAAAATAAAGAAAAAATTGAATAAGCAGTAGCCCACTATAGTATTGTTTACTCTAGTAAAGAGAGATGTCAGAGGCATTAACAGCATCTCATTATCATTGTGATGCTAAAGACAAAACCTCCAAAACCTTACTAGATTAGCTGTCTCCAAAATAATATTTTCAGAAAGTTACAATCATTGTAACTAAGCACAATAAAAATCAAAAGTCACAAAATTTGCACGACTACTCCATGGTATCAGCTTGACTGCTTCAAAAACAAAAGGACCTCAGTCTCTCAAGTAATATGACACAGCTTCTGTAAAATTCAAGTCCTTTCTTTCTATAACAAGACGATTAAGTAAAACTTCCAAAAGGCAGCAAATATTCACTTAATCTAGCACATTTTACAATTAAGACTTTTAGTTGGGAGCCTAATTAGGCCACTATAAACACCCTCCTAAAGCAGGAATCAAGAGTAAGAATGTCTGTAAAAAGAACTGTAAGCTGTAGACACATTTCACAGAAGCAGAAGCTGCCTCCAGGTCTGCTGTCAATGTGAAGAGACAATCACAGAGAACACAACATCAAAACATGGACAACCACAAAACATTGGACAATAAACACAGACAGAAATACAGCCCAAACAAACATGGAGAGAAGAGATGAACAGATGAAGCCGCGCAGTCTGGGCAGGTAGGTCGTGTGCTGAGCTCAAACCTGGATGCAGAATAGATGTTAACATTCCTACTTTGACGCCATCTGCAGTGCGAACAGTACACTCCACAGCATAGGAATAGGGTGTCACACGCACTTTCCACAGAGAGCGTGAGCCCCAGCGGTATCGCATGAAGGAGCTCCGATGCAGTGGTCCTGGAGCACGCACCTCCCCACCAGTCGGCACAGCACGAAATTCGATGTTTAGCTCTTCATTACTGTGGTAACTACATGAGAAGGTCACCAAAGACCCCACAGGCCGTCGAACTCGAGAAGGCACCAGCTCCATCATGATTCCGCCTGTAGGGATGACGGCTCTACCTTATCAGAAACTTTCAAACTACACCACTTACCCTCCTCAAATGAACATAATAAATATTTTTCTTCAAACTTGATTATGATATTGTAATAGTTCATCGTAAGTTATGAATATAAAAGGAAGTTAACCATGTTAAGTTACAATGGCTGTATATTTCTGTGATCTGTTCTATTAAAACAAAGCAATATTCAAACAGAAACTTTAGAAATATTGCTTTTCTCTTCTATTTTTTCATTTTTGGTTATGCAAATAAACTGTTAAAAAAACTTAAATAGCATAAAAACTTTGATCTACTAAAGAGATGTTCTACACAGACACGCTACACAGACACGCCTATGAAATAAAATAATAATATTGTACATTTATTTGATCATTGAAGTTTAAAGAACCAAAACATCATAAAACTACACAAATAGTATGAGTTCTAGCTCATTTATCACAACAAACATTCTAAAAGATAAAATCTTTATAGCACCTGACAGTTGACAAAGTATAATTTGTAATGAAGGGGGAAAAATAGGTAAATTTTCCATGCAAAAATACTGAAATGCAGCAAAAACTATGGGGATATTAAAAGAAATAGTAAATCAGCTACAGTGAAATAGTAAATCTGTATAAGGAATATATATATAAGGTATTTCAAACCAACACCATGTTTTAGGAACAATGTAGAAGAACTGCATATTAAAAACTTAATTTTACATTTTTTTTTCCTTCATGAAGTATTAAAAATACTATATTATTATTTCACGTTAAACATGTTAGCATTAACAATGAAAGAAAAGGTTGCACATAAATGAAAATTACTTCAACATTCATTTTCTTATTAATATTTACATGATTATATACAACACTTTACACAAAGTAATGTAGAAATGGATGGCTGTCGCATGTACATATATCTTAGCATAATTTATTAACGAAAACGTTTGACAATACCTGGATTATCACAGTAACGACCCGTAAATCCTGGAACACACCGGCATATGACTTCACCATTTGGAGCAGCAGAACAACTTTCTTCATTATCATTGCAAGGACATTTCTCACAAGAGAACCTGCCATCTGGCTCCACTCTTCGATAGTAGCGCACAGAGCAGGACTGTAAAATACATAAACATTTTAGCAGATTATTTTTCAAATACAATTATGAGGAATATATTTATGGAAAAATAATGATTAAGGTGACAGGAACACACACACATGCATACGCATGCACACATGCACGCACATACACTCACACATATCAGTCAACACAACACACAACACATAAATCAAAAATATTTTAATACACATATTCTTACCTCACATGATGTCCCTCTATATCCAGGAGGACAACGACAAATTTCAATATTAGTGACTCTTCCTTGGTTAGTAGTTTGTTCCACAGCAGTATCTAAAGAAACATCACTGACAAATGTTTGTAGGGTCTGAGTAGCTGGCTTTGCACGAATCAGAATGGCCTCAACATCTGATAACACTGTCAACAAATCGGCACGTGATGCTTGGCGAGGTCCAGCTGAAACCAATCGTCGCCACTCACGCTCTACAAGAGGAACTACATGAGTCTGTAACACAAAAAATGTTTTTTCTTTGAATTAAAATTAATTTATTCTTTCATAATTAGGGCTTCTTAAGAAAGAAAGAAAGAAAGAAAGAAAGAAAGAAAGAAAGAAAGAAAGAAGGAAGGAAAGAATGAAAGAAAGAAAAAAAGAGTAGAAATGTAAAAATCTTACAACAGGAAGATCAGGTTGTATAGTGTTTTCTCCTGACCAATAGATGCGGATACCATTGCCAAAAATTAGAATATCTGTATCCTGCTGCCACTGACTACCAGGTCTTGCTGTATAACGCTGAGTCACTGACAAGTTACCACCATACGAGGCAAGCTGGAAAAATGTTTCATTAATATGTACCTTACAAACTATTAGCCTAAAAAAATGAATAATGTAATATATAATATTTTTTTTACGTAAGAGAGATTCATTCACTGTTGTGGAAAACAAACCTTATTGCCAGTAAATTGTGGAGGTAGAGACCAGAAAAGGCGTTGATCTCGACCTCGGAAATCATAACCAAGCTCATTTTCAGCAACATTCTCACTAAAACCAGAGCGCACAACAGAATTTCGCTCACTATCAACCAATGTAAAGCCATGGGTACCACTAAGTAATTGCATTGGAATCTGTGTGCGTTGTAATCGTGAAGATTGACATTGGTCAGTAACTCCTGAGCACCAGCAGGATATACAACCTTCCGAGTGCCTTGCTGACAGATCAAATGTACCACGACGGCATCGATCACATTGAAGACCTTCCACATTAGTCTAAAATAATGACACATACATTTGAAAAGACTGACACTTCAAAACATGAAAAAGGTATTATGTAACAAAATGTACAAGAAAATTCCAAAAAAATAGCAAAGTCATTGCTTCTCAAACTTAATTCTTTGGTTGGTAGAAATCCTTGGAATATGTATATAGAAATGGCTTAAATACTTGGGATGCATACACAGACCACCAGCACAAAATTGAATGATGGATGAAATTGTAATTTTATCATTGCCATTTGCATTGGGCATGAATACTTTTTTTGACCAAATGTCAATTAATAAAAGTTTTTTTTTTGTTTTTGTTTTTGTTGTTGTTGTTTTTTTGTTTTGTTTTTTTGTTTTTTGTCTCTCTATCAGAGAAAATGTGATGCCAATGAGTGATGATCTAATGAGTAAGAAAGAGATAATCACATTGAGGTGAATGGAAATGGAGCAACGGTGGCTCAAGAGGCAAGAGAAATGGGATATCCTCAAAAAAACCTGCTTTAACCTCACGAGAAAAAGCTCACTTTGTCCATTCCAAATCCCATATGGATTGGCCATAGCATTGAACCCAGGTCCCAGGTATAGAAGGCATACGCATTAGTCATCTGAAGAGAGAAGCTAAAAATGTTATTCACTAATCATTTCATCCCAGGAAATAGCCTGAAATGTTTCTCTTTTATATTAACATTCTGAACACTTCTAAAAAAAGAAATTAAAAAAAAGTATTTTAGAACACGCTAGAACTACACAGTGGCCACCCTCATTGATTTGATTTGAGAAACAATGATTTATGCCTTTAATTAATGGAGACTAAAAATATTTCATAGACAAAGAAAATACCTTGCAAACACATGATCGCCCATCTGGGCAACCTGGCTGCCGAATACCACGAGGATCACAGCGGCATAGACTCTGTGAGCTAGATTCATAGATGCAACGGCCATCTTGTTTTGTGTAACCACCAGCACAACTTTCACACTGAGGTCCTGCAGTATTGTCACGACAGTTCTAATATAAAAAAACAAAAACAAATGAGATATATACATACAACGAAATCAACACATAGGAATCTATTTTTTTTATTCTTGTTGTTCTTTAATATGATTTAAGAAAGAAAAAAAACACACCAAAAATAACATGTAATTATATGAAGTGATTCGTAATGGAAGTAAATATGTTTCATGACTTTTCATTTATTTTTGAGAATTCACACAAGAATTAGAAGAAAGGTATAGCCTCCTGAAACCCAAATGTCAATGAAGATTGTTAATTGACAAGACCCACTGGGATGCAGGAATCTCTCAGAAATGTCACAATTTGTCTATGGTCTGTGGCAAATTAGTGTATTCCACTGTAGTAGACGCCCTCTAGTTTTCTCTTAAGACTGATACAGTCTTTTATAATATGGGTTGATGCTGGACATTCTTCCGTGGCTGCAGGGACACATCATTGTGTGACTGATCCTCTTTTATTACAAGCTACAATTGATATGAATCCAACATTATTTTACAAAAATATTTCAAAAGCTATTTTCTCATAACAGCAGTTTCACATACTTTAGAAACAGTTTCTTCATTGAAATAAAAAAAAATCTCTGTCTTCCCTACACTATAGGAAATTTATTGACAATGCCTGGTTTTCCAGGTTTGTCAGCATCCTGTTCACAGCAGTAAACCTCACAGCTATCACTACAAATTACTTGTAGGATTGCGAGTTACAAATTTGTTGAATATATATGTTTTGTGTATTTTTTGATAATTATTTAATCTCCAAGATTTTCATACAGTCTAAACAATGATTCTTCAAGTTCACTTACAGTGCAAACTCCAGTTTCTGGATCACAGTCTTCTGAAAAGCCACTGCAATTGCAAGGTTGACAAGTTCCTAGATAAAGTCCACCATCCGTGCGTGTGTAACCAACGTCACAGTCATGGCATGATAAGCCCCGATAACCTTGAGGACATGCACATTGTTCAACTTCAAGAGCTCGATTTTGTCCTGTATTTCGCTCTTCTGCAATGTCAAGGGACACTTGTGATAACCTGAGGACAGACCAATTAAATAATAAAATACGTGTAGATTATATCAAATAAACTTGTAGGTTTAGCTTTCTTACTGTAATCTACGATTCACTGTTTAGCTTTAAGTATGTTGGAGCGACATTAATGGTAGATCTGTGTCAGGCAGACTAAATCTACAAGTTTATACCATTTTGTCTGGATCATGTTTCTAAATTGTGAAATCATAGTAGATTAAACTCCAAAGCATCAGACACCCATTAGCAGACAAAGTTGCCTTGAATGTTGTATTTTTGTAAAACAGCCCGGACCGTTGAGATCACTAAAGTGTGAATGTACTAATGGTCTTGGCAAGAAGGGCAGTGGGTTTGAATCTCACTTGGGCATGGATGTTTACCTATATATTGTGGCTTAGTGGGGCTTTCCCTGTCACTATGCATCATCTGTGCATTGATATCTTTTCTGGCTTACCTGAGGCATAAAATAGTGAAACAGGTACTCATTACTCATGGGTGAACCACTTCCCCTGGTACCATGCCCTCCCATTGGCAAATGTGAGGAAGGCAACATCAGGTTGTGTTCCATACGTTCAATGAGAACCAGGTCCACATCAATGAGAGCATACACAAAATATGGCAATTCATTATCGATGAAGAAGAATTGTGGACGAAAGCCGAAATTAAGTGACAGACTGACAAACATTAAAAAGAATTGTGGTTAGACAACATAAAATGAGCACAGCAAAAGTGACTACAGAACTTAACTATCGCTTGAGAACTACTGTTTCACAACAACAGTATGACAGAAGCTTCACAAAGCTAAAATTCATTGAATTCATTCATTCATTGAAAACTCTTCATAACGGAAGCCAATGCAAAGTTGTGAAAGATGGGGTGCCATGATCATAAAACCTGGACACTCAATGACTGGAAAAATTTGGAATGATCTGATGATTCACAATTTACATTGTTTCCAACAAATGGCCGGTTTATGTACGGAGAATCCCAAATAAAGGCTACAATCTGGCCTGGCGCCTTCCAACAGTCAAGAATCAAGGAGGATGTGTTATGATTTGGGCAGCTATATTGTGATATTATGATGGTGGTGATACAATCACATAACATGGACACTTGATGACTGGAAGCACATGGTTTGATCCATTGTATGATGGCTAAATCAAAAAATAAATATTCAGCTGGTTTAGATGAATTTCTGAATTGTTTGTTAAAGACTTGTGCACCTGTCATTATACATCAGATAACTCACATATTTAATGCATCATTATGCACCACAACTTTTCCAGATATTTTCAAAACAGCTACAATTAAAACGCTCCTCAAAAAACGGCAACAAAAATGAAATTCAAAATTGTAGGCAAATTTCTCTTTTGTCAGTTTTTTCAAAAATATAGGAGAGATTTTTTTACATACAAACAGAAACCTTTCTCAGTAAACAAAGCGATTTCAGATTGCCATCATGGATTTAGGAAATCAAAATCTCTAGAAACAGCCATATTTTCTTTTCATGTTACTTCATCCATGGATCAAAATGAAGCACCTCTTGGAATATCTTTAGATCTTTCAAAAGCTTTTGACAACATTGATCACAACATTTTGCTTTCGAAACTACCTTCATATGGAATTTGTGGTTTTGCTCTACATAGGGTACCTTCATATCTTAAACAACAATCTCAGAGAGTACAAATACAGTACTGGAACGATGGTACATTACATACACACCCTTCCAATTCATTGCCAATTGCACAAGCGTTCTCACAGGATTTGATTTTAGGCCATATTTTCTTTTTACTATAAATAAACAATAGGCCCTCAAGGATTCAAAAGGGAAAAAAAGTTCTCTTGCAGATGATATGAATACTCTTTTCAATAAAGAAACCAGACCGGTATCAGATGCTTCAAGTTACTTCCATAATAACGAATTAAGAGTAAATGAAAGAAAAACACTTTCAATACGGTTTTCCATTTCAAATAAACAATTGCATACTCCATTGAAAATGAAAGATGTGCAATTGTCTCATGTTAAGGAAACAAAATTTTTGGGTCAATCAATTCAGTCAAATCTCAAATGGAACATCCATTTAAATAAATTGAACACAAAATTAATTTCATTATGCTACATGTTCAGAATTAATTCAAATTCAGTCAGTCTTCATGCTGATCGTTGTGTATATTTTGAGAGTGTTCATTCAGTTCAGGCGAATGTTCATTCCTGCCTGAGATATAGTATAGTATTCTGGGGAAACTCATCGAATAGCTCCCAGATATTTAGATTACAAAAACAATTTGTACAAATAATAAACAAATCCCACCCACGTGATTCTTCTAAGCCTCTCTTTATTAAGCTAGGAATTCTACCATTACCTTGCCTCTTGATTTGCAACCAGTGATTTTTGTCAAAAATGATTTATTCAAGCATGTAAACATATTTTCAGTTAATACCAATGTATATACCTATAACACTCGACATAATCGTCTTCATCATGTGTAGGTATCAGCAGTCGACTACACAAGGTTCCCATACAATACATACACATTATTTTACAACACATTGCCAGTAACAAAAAGGAATAAATTCAATTAACAAATTGAAGTAAAATCGTTTCTGCTGCATCACCTATTGATTCCCTCATGAAGGCCACGATGAGGAATAATAGCCAAACCTCCTAGGTGACTTGCCTTTGCAAATAGTTTTTATTACACTGGAGTGAATTTTTCTAACAATTCTTGCCAAAAATGCTCATTTCATCACTATTCAGAATGCAACTTGTATATGAGTTAGGGCAAGGATCTCAGAATTTTAGAAATCGTGCACAGAATACACTTTTCCCCATTGTACATCACACACAGTTTTTAAACAGTTTTTGACATTAAATAAAGAAAGAAAATAATAATTTATCATTTACATTGTTTCCTACAAACAGATAAGTTTATGGGACCCTTAAACAAGTCTACCATCTGGCCTGCGTGCTTCCTTCAGTCAAAGGTGGGGGAGATTCCATTATGATTTGGGCGACTATGTTATGTTATTCAACTGGTCCTAGCATTACCCTCACCCTCACTGGGCAGATTACTGCAAATGAATACCTTAACATCCTCAAAACTGAAGTGCTTTTAGTGACCCATACATTGTTGCTAAACATTGCCATATTCCAAGATGATAACATGCCCATTCACACAGCAAAAAAGGTTTAGGAGTGGTTTGGAGAGCATCAGAATATCATCAACCATCTTCCCTGCCCAGCACAATCGCCAAACCTCAACATAATTAAACCACTATGAGGCATTTTAGAGCAGAGAGTAAGGCGCAGATTTCCAGCTCAAACATTGTTAAGCAATTGGTGGATGTTTTGGTACAACAATGGAAGAACATTATGTCGGAAACTACTCACTCTACAAATCTATTCTGCAATGAATTACAGCTGTTCTAAAGGCACATAGTGGCCCATCACCTTATTAAAAAAGAAATATTTTGTATAGACCTATGTCAGATGTTCATATTATTTTGTCCTACCCCTGACTCCACCAAAACTACAGGCCCTGAGGGGCTCTTCAGAGTGAGAGTGGGGAACCATGGCAAGTGGAATTGTGAACAGACCCAGAGATTAGCCAGTCATGGCTGGCAGGAGAAAGAATCAAAGAAGGTTCCAAAGGCTTGCAAGAATATAAGTAACAACTATCAAACAATGAATCCTCAAAACCTCAAAAGAGGCAAGTGGGTACAGATACTACTAACTATATTGTTAATGATGGAATGCTGTAATAAAACTTACACCTGATTTCTTATTCAACTACATCGTAATTTCTTTTAACACTTACGCAGCCTCTCGGGTATTTGTGGTGTATGTTGCTTTGATGTATATTGCTTCCAGATCAGCAAGTGTCATTAGAAGATGTTCCCGATTAGTAGGTTGTCCATCTTGGCGTTGCCAGTATTGCTCTAAAAGAGGAACTTCAATAGTTTGGGGGCGTTCAGGACTAATCTGTTCACGACTAAAGTGCATCAGATGGATATCGTTTGTCTGTAATAATTGCAATACAAGAAAAGTTAAATATTCAAACATTAGACACATTTCGTAAATGAAGATAAGGGTTTTCATTAAATTCTTAAACATACGCTGATCAGTTCAACATCAGGAGCATTATTGCGAGAACTAAGACCACCGGGAGCAGGTACATATCGCAGAGTGTATCTTAATTTGCCACCATATGCTGTAATTTTGTCACCTAAAAATTGACTCGGCAACTTCCAATACAAAACCTGTTAACAAAGAGAAAATTAAGAGATATTATTTAATATTAGCAATAACTCTCTTCATATAAAAATTACTTTTTACAAAGAAACCCTCATTTAAATCAACGTATTAGATAAATACTATCAAAGAATTAATCAAATACAATGAGTTATTTTACAATATTTATTTTGATGAATGGAAGTGTATTGAAGAAAAAATTAGGTCAAAATTATTTAGGTTGTTGATTAATTTAATTTATTGTCATTCTTACTTACAGATGGACTTCTCCATGAAAAATCACTGAACACAATTTCCCGCTGTTCTGGATTCAACTGGATACCTTCTCTTATAGGCTCATCTTTTTTCTGAGATTCCACTAAATGGAAATCATTGGTACCCCTGGTAAATGTTGATGAAATCTGCAAGAGAAGCAGTTGACAAAAAAATTGATACTAACAGAATAATGCCCTATATGCAAATACGTTCTGTCATATTTTGAATTATATTTCTACTCTATATAAGAAATTATTTACACAGGGTTCATGAATGCTTCTCCAGGAACTGAAGAACATTCTTGAGTAATATCCATTTTCAAGGCAAAAGAACCAGATATTTGGTTGACACAAAGTCAGCTAATTATTTCTGAATGGAGATTAAATTTGAAAGTAGTGGATGTATTGTATATTAATGATTAATAAATTAAAGAAGGTTATTGAGGTACAAATGTGCTTTTATATTTTTTCCATCCGAATCTCCCAAAAGGAGTATTCACTCTTCCATGTGTAGATTCTTTCAGACTACAATTTGCTAACCTTTTGATTTCGATTTTGTAGGCTTACTGTGCATCAATCAAGGAATGATACTATGGACAGTTCCCTACTAATAATTACGCACATGTAGCGTCTACTTTTTTGAAAGCACTTTTGAATTGTCGAGTCTATCCTTTCATGTGATTTTAGAAACTTTTTAAAAGCAGATATTCTTGATAAGGACTTTAACAACAGTTACAATGCCACAAGACATTTTAAAGGAATTTTTAATTACACTAGATAGTTTAGTTTGTTGATATTACAGAAACATTTTTCAACATTAAATAGCTCTTGCCATCAAATGAAAGCTGCAATGGTGTCACCCCAGGAACAGTATATCTTTAGTTTGTTCATTTCATAAAAGTCCAACAATTATCTTTAACTTTTGAACTCATTGAAAGTTACATTTCCACATTCCCTTGCCACTTTTGAAAATTTTAATGGGCATTAAACTCTTTCCAGCTTTCCTTAAAATGGCTAAAAAGTATTGTCAGACATTGCTGTTTACATCCATATTTTACATTCAAATCATTTCTTGTAAATAAGTTTATATAGTGGTGATGGCATGGAAAGATCAACAATTCTCTGTCCAAATTTTTTCAAGAAAGACTCTTTACCCTTGAAATGTCAAGTGTTTGAATGGAGTTGGTCATGCACAGTATAAATTTGTTCATTGATCTTCATTACCTATGCGTTCAACACATCCAACATTTTAGCACAGCTTTTTACGCAAAAGAATTTCGCAATTTGGAAACCCTATGAGCTGTCCAACTGGAACAATTTAGAGTCTTTCTTCTTTTGCGTCCGCTGACATTTAATGTATGCAACAGTTAACCATTCTCAATGAACAATAAGAATTTCAGTATATTACTCTTAAAAAGCAGATTTAATTGTTTCGTTAACAGCTCTCGTTTCTCTTCCTTGTGTCCTTATTTAAATAATAGAAGATATATTTAATAGAACTGTAGATTCTATGTATTGTGCTCACTGGTCGTTTGAAGGATGATATCTAATATATTACTCACCTGGCATTTTATAAAGCAAGCTATGAATTATTGGTGTCATGCCTTTGCAGCATTCTGTATTGTGCTCTCGAAAGTCTCTCCTTAAAATTCACCAACATTGATTTCATTTGGACTTGGAAGTTTGTATTTTAATTTAAGATTTAGAAGGAGTATAGGCGAAGACATAGACTCTTCACACAATGTCTCTCTTTCCTTTGTTACTTGCAATGTTCTTTGTTTGACTTTCTTCTTTATTCATGAGATTTTGGTCATTTCTGCAAGATAGCTTTTAGTATCTGCTCTCTCTGCCGAAGTAAAACTTCTATCTTCTTCCAATGTAATGAGTTTGTAAAACATTTGAAGGTACAATATCAAAAGATTGTCAAATGATTTTCTACAACCTTTTCACTATGCTTAAAAACTATTTTCATGTTGTTTTGCGGTTGTTTTTTCTGGATTTTTTCGCTACGGTGATCTACAATTATAAGTTTTGGTGAATAATGCGATTTGTGGGAATTTCTTTGTTTCTCCCAAAATATCAATCACTGTACTTACCTACAAGTTTAGGACTTGAAATAATGTAATTTTACTTCCTGTAATGTTATAAAAATAAAACCTTCAAACAATTTGTTTATTTGATGATTAGATGTGATCTGGTTAATTTGGCGTTTTTATATTATTAATAATGTTATCTCCTATTAAAAAACACATGTTCCACCTCACTGTCCATATTAACCACTAACAATATACATGTTAGGATTTAGCGACCTGTGAACATGTATGACACAACGAATGAAATTCATGTAACTGTCTTTGCTCAGATCTGACTGCAGCAGTGGAGGTACAGTCTAAGACTTGTTCTGTCACCTGAGTTTGCACTGCCAAGTCAGCAAGTGGTTAGAATGCTCTGATCTCAACAAAATGTTGTAACAGGCATTTTTAAGGTCATTTACAACTTGGAGGGTGAGCTTTCCACGCATTTCAAGACAGAAATAAGGTTACACTAATACGGACACATGTATACTCAACAAAAGTCTTCTGCATACATATTCCATGCCCTTGGGATATGCGCATACAGACACGATTTATTATTAGAGAGACATACAGCACACATATATCATATTTTTCTTCCATTAATGTCCTATGAATTTTTTAGTTTGTAGCTTAAATTAGTGT